CTGAAACGGGCAAATGATGAGCTAGCTCGTTTCAGCTCGAGTTGAATAATTTCAAATATAAGTTGGGCGCAGAATTTTTCTGCGTCATTTTGTTTCATGTCTAGTTCTTTCTTTCTGAATGATACATACAAAAGTTGAGCAAAATTAACATAATAATGAATTTTCTAAAAGAAGAAGAAATAGACCGCACTTTCAAGAAAAAAAAAATTGAAAACTTTTAATTTTTTTTCAGGAGTTCTAGTTTCTGAGCAGAAAGATAGAAACGTAGATTTCAATCCGTTTTCGATGATTTCTACGCCGAAAAAAACATAACAGTTTTGCAAAGAAAAATCAGATGACCTGAAAATTCTCGACCAAACGACCATTCTAACCAAGTTCTCACGTGTTGGTTGCAAAAAAGGAGAAGTCAAAGGTTATGAAGAGAGAAATTGAGAGAAAAGACTGAAGTTTGGTGAAGAAAAGGCTGGAAAAAGTATATAATCAATCTAATGGAAAGAAATAAAATAATTAATGATTTTTTTGTAAAATTATTAAGACTTGAAGCTTTTAAAAAAGCTGTTCTCACAGGGCTCTACTTTTTATCAAAGGTTGAAATTTTAAAGGTTGTTTTAAGATGGTTAAGGTCATTTTTAAGAAGATCCAATTAAAAAAAGTTTTGAAAACCAAAATTTTGAAACATTTCGAACTGTTAGAAAGATGATGAAAAGTTGGTAGAAAAAGGCAAACAAAAAAACAAAAAAATCAGCGATTTTTGAACTGATAAGATCTTAAAAATTGGTTCAATAGGCAAAAAGATGAAGATGCTCTTTTTTTCAAAAAAATTGGGGTATTTTTAATTTTTTTGTTTTTTTCAAAGTTCATTTTCAAATTAATCCTTTTTACACCTTAAAAAAATAAGTAAAATCAAAGAGTATTCCAAAAAAATATTGAAGTGAAATCTTTGATCATTACGAATTTTCCAGTGATAAGATAAACTTCTGATAAACATTTGAGGGTTTCATCAGAACAGAATTTCATCTTTGAAATAAAAAGAACAATAGATTTTACTTAAAAGCACCTGAAAAAGGGGAAAAGGGAGAAAAAAGGAAGCGAAAAATGGAGATTCTTGAGAATCTCTCAGCGATTTGATGTCTTGATAAGCGACGATCGAGTTGTTATCAATTGGCAGAAAAAGCGATCGAGATCGCGTCCGACAAAACAGCCGCCGCCGCCGCCACAGGTTCATGCCCTTTTTTGGGGCTGTTTCGATCAAAGTAGAGATTGATCGACGGCTAGCCCAGAAAGGAAAAAATAGCCGCGATGAAGATGGTTTTTGATGCTCTAAGGCTAAATTTTAGAGCAGGCATTGGAATTATCTCATCGCGGCTATTTTTCCGGATTTTTGTTATTTATTGCTATAGTTTGGTTCGTGTGATAATAGCTTCTTTTATAGAAACGAAAAAATCAGTTTTCAAAATAATGAGAAATTAGAAAACTCAGGCAAAGTCGGATTGGTGGACAATGGTCGCTTAGAAAGGAAAGGATCGAAAAAGGGCACATAAAGGTCGCAAAAAGGCTCAAAAAAGGCCGCATTAAAGCAGAAAAAAGGCAGCAAAAAGGCAACAAAAAAGTCCCTTAATCGAGCCTTATATTTTTTCCGGATTTTCAGGGATCTAGAAATTTTCCCATTCCGACTTTGTCTATGAAGGTGGGAGCGACTATCCGAAAATAGAGAACTTTTTTTTGAAGGAATTTTGCGAACTTAACTTTTTTTCGTTTCAAACAGCTTTTTCTTAACAAAAACTAACACTTTCCAGATTTTCGAAGGAAAAAGCTTCAATTAGGCATACTTCTCTCAAATTCAAAGTCACAAGTACCTGAATTTTCGCGTATTCCCTTCAAAACTTCAACTGATCCTTTTTTGAAACTGCGTCGAAAAATAGACCATTTTATCACCTGTATTAATAAATAAAAAAATTGATTAGAAAAACAAAAACAAATACATGTTTGGGTCCTTAAAGCTAGGGGAACAGTAGAAAGACAACAGTGTTCCACTGGGGGATTCTAAAAATAAGAAGTACCCAAAAATATAATCTGTGTGCCACGAGTTGAAATTTCACGGAACGACATTCCGCTGCGTGCGTTCGCGAAGCGTTTTTCGAATCTAGGCCACGCTTTCAATTGATTGTTATTGCTGTGGGAGCACATGGAAGTAGAGTAACTTGATGAAAGAAAAATAAAATTTAAAAGCGCGACCAAGGTTCGCAAAGGCACGCAGCGGCACAGCGGAATGTCGTTTGTGAAATTCCAAGTCGTGGCACACTGACTATAGTTCATCTATCAAAATAAATATGTGCATTATGGTAATAGTACCCGGGGGAAAGTTCGGTTTCAGGTTTTAAGCAAGAGCCTGGAAAAAGACGCCAAATAAATATGTGTTTTTGAACTAAAGCGATATGTGAGGCTAATGGCTTTACACGTAACAATTCGTCGATAAGAATGTCCGCGGATAAACATGAATTTGGGGAGCGAATCGGGGGGCGGAATGGCTATAAAACATGAGGAATCATCTAGAAGAGAACTATAAGGGAATAAATTATGGATGGGTTATGAAGCGTCGTTGAGATCATCTTCGAAGACTTCTTCGCAGGCGAGACTGACCAGGCCCATTTCTTCATCGGGGGTGATGGAGCAGGCCGAAGATTTGCTGGGAAAAAAATCATTTTGGTTAGATCCTCGAGTTTTTGAAATTTATTTTCAGATGAATCGAACAAATGAAACTTCTTTGAATAGTCCAATTAAGGTCATTTTTCTCAAAAAAATTTCAAAAAAACGGGAAACTTGTTCAACTGTTCCTTTCAACAAAGAAGCCGAATTCGTTTGGTTTGAGGATTCGCCAAAAAAACTCTTGGATTACAAATAATAATATTTATAAATAGTAAAGCGTCTCTATTAGTGTTCTAAAATTAGACCGTTCAACTGGTTTTCCCGTTCAGTTTTTCGAACGGTTATAACATGTCATTTTTCTGACCGTTCGTTTGACCGACCAATTTATGAAATTTACGAAACCGACCGACCATTTTAATAGTGACATTTCGAACAGTCAAAAACCAACATGTCACTCTGAAGTGACATGTTGAAATTTTGAAACTCCAACCGTTCGACCAATGACCATTTATTATGACATGTTGAAAAAATATTGGTCGAACGGTCGGTCGAACGGTCAATTTTCGAAACTATAGTCTCTATATGAAGAAAAGAACAGCGTTTGAAAAATCGGGTAGACGGGCAAGTATGCTACATCGTTCACCTTTCACTCACAAATAGACGATTTTTTGTTGCTTTGGTTTTCGCTGTCACAAAGTCGAATCTTCAGCGCAAAAATAATTTCTAATCCGTTCCATGCTCCTTTAGAATACAATTTTTCCTCAAATTAATCCTCCCCCTAGTCATGTCCTTTCGAAAACTCACTAGCACTCGGCAGTTTCCGACTGTGCGCGGAGATTTCGGACGTTCGGAAGACGCAATCGAGACGACGAGGACGTGCACGGAGGCGGTGACACTGGGGCAGGTTCGGGCGACGAAGAAGGCGTCGTCGAGACCGCAGACACCGTACGAAACCTTGCACCACGTCTGCAAACAGTTCATGTCATTATTCAGTTCTTCATTTATTTTTGGTCCTAATTTTGAAATTTTGCCCTAATATAGGGAAAAACTGTTATCAAAATCATTAATCGAATAATTTAACTTCAAAAAGATTTCTACTTGGAACATACTTGTTTCCAAACTTCGGTAAAGTCATCATCCGAAGTACTTGAACAAGTTATTGGTCTATTTATCTTTTTTTTCACAAATTTTTCTGCATTCAATCTATTCAATTTCCATGATTTTCATGAAAAATTCTGATCATAGTGAATACTTTAGGGTCAGAACCGATATTTAAAGAAATTGCTATTAATCCCATAATACTCAAAATTTAGAAGCGTTCCTCACTTGCATTTCTGAAACGCGACGGTTTTGTGAAACTTGTCAGTTTTTTTCGAGTTAAATCTTACTTTTTCACTTTTTTTATGAAAAATACATAGCTTCAAAGATATTCATCTTGTAGAGCGTTGTCGATTACATAGGTTATCAGAAACAGTTTATTTTTAAGGTGTAACTTTAGTTAGTAGAAACGCCTCAAAACCGTTTTTGCAACAAAAAAAATCGTCATTTTGGTGACGTGAAGAGGTGGGGCTTCGCGCTCCCTACCCATAAAGAGTTCTACTGACTTGCAGGTGGAGAACAACTTGTTCCGGACGCTGCCCCGCGGAGAAGCGAGCCATTCTGCAGCACGCGTCAGTCCACCGCTGCTTTTCCTTCAAAATATACGTTTTTTCTTCCGAATTCTGGAGACTTTTTCAAAACCTTCTACACTCGGCCACGGCGTTGGCTTTGCAGGAGTTATGAACAGCCAATCCACAATCTTTACATTTAAAGCCTTGACGGAGGATTCCCCAGAGCTGAAATGGAAAGTTGAGTGTTTTAGAGAGGAGACCTCGAAAAAGAACTCCACAACAAAAATTGAGAGCTATATTTTAATTTTTATCCAATCCAAAAACCTTGATTTTTTTCCCATTAAAATTCTCTTTTTTCACTCTGAAATTTTTTTGAGCTTGAGGGTTATTTTTATTTTCCCTCTATCTCACAATTTCACTTTATGAATAATCGATTCAATACTCCAAAACAAGTTTGAGAAAAAAATTATACTGTAGAAAAACTTTTTTTCGATTTCACAGCCAAGAAAAACCAAAAAAAAATAAACATTTTTTCAAATTGATGCCTTTTTGAAATAAAAAAACAAAACGAATTAAAAAGAAAGTAGAACTTTTTCATCTTTATAGGATTGATGAAAACCGGAATATAAAAATTAATTTTTCCTTTTTCGAAGCGATTTTTTTCTTTTGACAACTCAATATTTGTAAAAGGGATTGCCAAAAGTTCGAAAATTCTGCTCATTTCCTTCAAGCTCAGAGAAGAAGGATTTCTGTCCGATTTTCAAAATTATTTTTCTATTCAGTTGATTCTCTGTTATAGTCCATTCGCCGCGACTTTGCAGTTTTCGAGTGTTTGCGTCTCTCTGTTCCCTCACCGGGGAGGTCAGAGAAACTTGAAAATAGTGCGTCAACAAGAGAGGGTGGCCTAGAGACGAGGAGAGCGCAGAGAAGTCCCGGCCTTTCAAGTCGCAAGAAACGGACTATAAAAGCTTGTTGTTGATGAATTGCAAACAGAAATACCAAAATGTAGATCAGAACAGCTTGAAAATAGCGCTTCAACAAGAGAGGGTCGCCTGGAGACAGTGAGTGCGCAGAGAAAAAGAGCAATCTCTAATCGCGAAAAACAGAGTCAGACTTGTTTGAAATGAATACAGCACAATCGTTTCAAAAAAGTAGATCCCCCTCACCAATTTCGAGCAATGACTACAGGTGGTCGGGGCGAGGAAAGTCGTCTCGTGGAAGTTGTGTTTGAAGCCGCGACGCAGGGCGAGGGAATCCTTGTTGGCGTGCATGAAGTAGGCCTTGAGCTCCTCCTTGGAGATTTGTCCGTCGTGGTCCGAGTCGATGTCGACGAACGCGTCGATGAACGGAAAATTGCCGGCAATTTGTCTGAATTCCGCCTGGGAGATGTAGCCGTCGCGGTCGTGGTCGTAGTGTTTGAAGACCTGGAATTACATCTTGATAGTGAAATTGCGATGAAATCGGTGAATTTTAAGAACCTTCGGTTTCTTGAGACGTACACTAAATTTGGCTTTAAGTCAACTTTGAGAAAATTTTTAAAAACGTGATTGAAAGCATGTTTTCTCAAAGATTTGAAGAGTTTTTTTCAGAAATCTGCTATCTAAAAAAATTATTTTCAATGATTTTTTTCTTTAAAGTGGAATTTTCGATAATCCTGGAAAAAAATAATCAAGTTTCACTAATTTTTTTGAATGAATAAAATTCAAGACAGATCGTTTTTTTCAGTCTCTAATACAGCTGATGCACGGCTGTCTTGAGCCCATCGAAAAAAAGGGTCCTGACAAGATAATAAAAGAGATAGCGCCTGATTGTTGGAGAGCGCAGACACGCCACGTCCCTTTGGAGTCGGGAATCGGCTATATTATTTGACAGTAACAATGAAATTAGTTTGCTGTTTTTCTTAAAGACATGAATATTGAATTATTTTCAAACCTAAAAAAACAGACTTTTCGCTGCGAGACCCTTATCTATTCCGTTCATGCTCCTTTAAAAAAAACAAAAATCGCGCAAGATTTATCAGCACTATTCATAGTAGAGTTCGAATTGCATTGAAAATAAGAATAATGCAGTAATTTACTAACGCCGTGTAACCGTAATGTTACGGTTCAAATCGAATTTTTAGCCTTGACTCGGCCTTTTTTGACGACTTTTCTTTCTTATTCTCTGGGCGCTTATTTTGAACTACGCGAAATTTTTTTGAACACAGCATGTGCTTTAAAAAAAAAGAGAAACCGAAAAACTGCGTTTTTTCAAGATGAGAAATCGATTCGTCTCATGACCAATTGAACATGCGCCTTTAATATCCCGCTATCCACTAACAAAAACCGACCGCGTCGACCATTGCCGAGATGTGTTTGGATACGGTAGCCGAATCTGGAATCACAGAAACTCCGGAGGCCCATTCTGCGAAAACGACTCCTTTCGAGGTGGTTTCGAACTGAATTCAAATATATATTTTATTTTTTTGAATTTTAACAGTTGACTTGAAAAATTTTGAAAAAAAGTGACAAGCTTCTGTTCGATGTTTTATCATTTTCGTGTAGAATTATTACTAGGCAGCTATAAAAAAATCAAAAAAAGCATGATATTCTTGGAAATGTAGTTGAAACTTTAAAAAAATCAGCCATTTTTTTACAAATTTTTCTATGTTTTCTATAGCTCATCCCTGAAAACTTAAAATCGAAATTTTAAAAAACCAACGTTCATAAAAGTCTTGGGTTCCCGTCGCAAAGATAGTTCATAAATGTCGTTTTCATTGTATCGAATGTCCAAGGAGACCTAAATTTAATCAATTTGATCCATTTGATCCAATTTTTTAACTATTTTTTTGAAAAAGGTTCTCAAAGTTGAAAAAAATTATTTTTTATAAGAGAAATTCAGTAATTTTGACTGAAAAAAGTCTCAAGAAGAACTGGCTCCAGTTTATTCAGCTTGAGAAGACGGACGAAAAAAGGATGTTATTAACGAAATAGTGCGAAAAAAGAGATGGTACGACAAAACCTCAAGTCCGCAAATCTCGAGGACCGTAATCTTGTGTACGCAGATCTAAAGTCCCATAATCTTGGAAACCAAAATCTTGGAAAGCAAAAATCTTTCTTTTTAGTTTTCTTCATTGCACTTTATCTACTTATATTCACTTGTTTGAATCACCGAATATAATTTCTGATAAAAATCTATTCGCAAAAGCGTTGATTTTTACTTTCCAAGATTGTGGTCTCCAAGATTTTGGTCTCCAAGATTTTGGTTTCCAAGATTATGGGACTTTAGATCTGCGTACACAAGATTACGGTCCTCGAGATTTGCGGACTTGAGATTTTGTCGTACCATCAAAAAAGGAGAGGTTCAGACATTCTTTCCTTATTTGTTGCCTCAAATACAGTAGAGACCGTTATTTACAAGTTTGAACTAAAAAAATTTTAAAAAAACTTTTTTTCCAGAAATTTTTTTGTCACTACAAGCCATATAACTTCAAATTTTTTTCGAAAAACCCAGCAAAATTTTTTTAATTTTTTTCAGTAAATCCCTATCCCTCTTCATCTTTCTCTCCAGTGGTAAGAAATACTTTTTCACTTAAATAAAAAAATTTAAAAATTTATGTTTCCACTTCAAAAAAAGCATCTCTTGTTATTCATATCCCCCCAAAAAGAAACCTTGAGAGTATTGATCAGATCGACGTTCGGGTCGGGAAACTGATGATGTCGTTGGTTAAAAACCAAAAAATTCGATAAAAGTTGAGCCAGTTTTATCACTCTGAAAACAAATTTCAGTGAAAATCGAAAATCTCTTGAAAACTGTTTCAGCCGGATTTTAAAAGGTCTTATTTATCCAGTTTCTTTACTGTGTCAATCTTTCTCTATCCCGACATACAAAAATCAAATAATGAAATTTCATTTGTATAGCTTATTCACGGCTGGCTTGAGCCATCAAGAAAAGGGTCCTGCCACGAAAAGAGACGAGACAGTGCCCTGGTTGGTGGAGAGTGCAGACAGGCCACGCCTTTTTGCGTCCCAAGCTAGCCGTGAATCGTCTATATAACTTGAGACGTTGAGAAGGCGTGGTCTGTCTGGGCTCTCCACAAACCAGGCACTATCTTCTTATTATCGTGTAAGGACCCTTTTTTCAAAGCCAGCCGTGAATCAGCTATATATCCTTCTCGCGGCGACTTGAAACTTTCTGCCTGTCTGCGTCTCTCTGTTCCCTCACCGGCGAGTTGAGAGAAACATGGAAACAGCACGCGAACGGGAGAGTGTCGCCTAGAGAGAAAGAGGGCGCAGAGAAATCTTTCAAGTAGTGGCGAACGGACTATGTACTTGCAACGCGAAACTACTAGAAATTTGAATCTCCTTTTCTGTTCGGTCGGTTTAAACGCACCTTTTCCTAGTAATGGTCTTGGTTTTGTCGAAATCGATACCCGCACAGTGAGCCGCTACCAAATCTTTCAAATGAACGCCCCTGGAAATTAAAACTCTGTATATTAGCCAACAAAAAATGTTTTATAAAAGAGTAGAAAATATATGAAAAAAATCGTTTTGTTTAACTGGAAAATTCAGTTGGTTCGGTCGGTTTTTTGAATTTTTGAAATTTTTTTCCAGTTTCAAATTTTTTTGCGTCTCTAAAAAGTGTAGAGTTCTCAATTTTCGTTCGTTTGAAAATTTTAAAAAAATCAAATATCGGCTGTAAAAAAATGGTTTTTTTGACTTAATCGTCAAGTTTTTTTATGCAATCTTAAATTGAAATAAGTTTGTGTAAAATAGTTTTTTTATATAATTTGAAAGCATTTTTTTCGGCGAAAAAAATAGAAAAAAATGCAGGAAAAAAAGAATTTTAAGAAAGTTTAGTCATAATTTTTTTGGGAAAATTATGTCATAAACTATTCAAATAAATTATAAATATAAACATAAATTATAAACATAAACAAAAAAATTGAAACCATTAAAACCTTGATAATTTTCAAAAAAAGCTTCGATTTAAAAACTATCTTTAAAAACCGACCGACTTTTTCAAAAAAATGCTTCAAATTTTTTTGTACAATAGCCAAAAAAATAGTTAATAAACTTTTGTTTTTTCAAAAATCTTTACGCGGTACTTGATCAATCTTATCGAAGCTCTGTCCCATTTAAAAATAAATTTTTCAAAACTGTAAAGTGACTTTTTAAAGCATCAGAAAAATGGAAATCGGAGGATAAATGAGTATAAAGTAAAACTTCGACTCAAAAAACAGCGAAAATTTGCGAAATACCTTTTAAATTAGTATTTTTTTACTTTGGTATGAAATCAATTCTAAACGAACATGATGGGAATGCAAAATTTGCCGCCCAAAGATTCCAGACATTTTCGATATTCGCTAAAGTTGTGTTGAGTGGAGAGAAGACACGTCAGTTGGTTCAGATCCTGAAAAAAACATAGTTAACGTTTTTTTTTGAAGATTAAACAAAGATTTCACTTTGAAATTGCGGTTTCATTGATTCAAGCATTTTTGGTTTCATTGACTCAAGCATTTTTGCTGACAAATTTGAGCTTACGATGTTTTTTTTCAATTTTTTTTTTTCAAATTTCACGTTTTTTTAATACTTTTGAATAATTCCACGATTTTAAATATGCTCTGTGAGTTTGAAGCAGCAAAAAAGACCTCAAAAAAGCAAAAATTATGGAAAATTCATTAAAAAAAATAGAAGAAAAACTTGATCATCTATCTAAAAAAAAATCACACTTCAAAGGGTTTTTTTTAGTGTTAAGCGCGGAAAATTTTAAAAGCACATCAGAAAAAAATGTAACCACAGCGTTCTTCGCGCGTTTTCTCTATAGAACTGCGAAAAAGACAACAAAAAAACAAAGGTCTTGAAGAGAAATTTGGTCGATTGGTTCGGACCTCAAACCCCTATAGGGACCCCATAGATTTTACCCCTCTAGGGAGCACTTTTCGTCCCCTATAGTGGCTGCTTAGTTTTCCAACCCCTCCAGGGACCTCTGGAGTTCCTAAGAGTGGAACAAATTGACCTTTTGAGGCTAAGAAGTCAGACATCAAACCCCTAGAGGGACAACCTGGATTACCTAGATTTACCCCTTTAGGGAGCACTTTTTTGTCCCCTATAGTGCCTGTTCTTTCCTTAATTCCTGTATGGACTCTGGAGTTTGAAAAAAGAGTGTTATCCACTGATTTTTTGAATAACCCGACCTTCTTGATGTCATTCGACAAAAGGGCGTGAGTTTTAAGAAGTCTGGAGATGGTGCTGTGGCTGACGCCGCCGACCACCGACATCAGCGTGTTGAAATTGTTCATCTTCCGCAAGTGCTGAAGACAAATTCATCTTCTAATCTTCAAGGAGATGAACCTTGGCGACATGGACGAACTTGGTCAGTACTTCGGACCGTTCTTTCGGCGTCGCTTTGCTCAAAATCATGCACTGGACCCAGTTGGACAGGTTCTGAAATGAATCATAAGGCTTTTTTAAAGAGTTTCAACTTTTATTCATATGTCTTTTGGAAAGACTCTCAAAGGTCAGAACCGAAAATTAAGAGGGAAAAAAGATCAGCTGCCTGAATTACACGGACAAAGTCCAAAAGGGCCAAAAAACAAGCTTTTGGAAGATTTTTGCCTTTTTATGAAGATGACGAATCATCCGTTAAAAATAACTTTCCCCAGTTTTCCAGCAGACTCCATTTTTGATTTTCGATCTTCAGAAGACAACGACGACTTTAATTGGGAATTTTTCGACTTTTTTTCCTAAACCCCCCAGGCTTCGTTTTGCGCCTTTTATCGAAAAACCTCATCAATTTCCAAAAAAAGGCTTTATTTTTTTTGCTTTTTTTTCTAAAAAAAGGCTGGAAGTTTCCGACTTTTTTTCAACTCTACTAACAATCAGAAAATTCTGATCTACAAGTGAGTCAGCCTTTTTATTCTGGAGCTTTTTTTCTAATTTTAAGACTCGAAGTGAACTTTTCATCAAGCATCACAGTAACCCTATGAGTCAACTCCTCAAAAAAAAACGTCCAAAAATACCCTTTTTGAAGATCTACGTAAGACAAGTCTGGAATAACAGTCACAGACGTCATGACTGATAATTACACGAATTCAGGCAGAAAAAAGTGTAGACGCAAAACAACCTTTTCTCGGGGTGACTCACTCTTTTTTCTTGATTTATTCTGTTATCTTGAACTCTTGAATACGAGAAAAGTCCGGAACTTTAGAAAAAAGAAGACTGACACCTTTAAGGAAGGTCTTTCTACTTTGCGGTTGGGAACTTTATAGAAATTGGTCAGAAAACTGCTTGATGTACAGGAAGAGATTCTGAAGACTCAAACTTTTAAAAAGTCTTAGTTTTCAAGAAAGAACTCTTCAAAGTCAAAAAAAAACCCTCAAAATTCGTGAAAATCGGCCATTTTATTATGGCATCGAGCCCTTGCTTCTCAAAAATCAAGAATTTTTGGAGGTTGCGGCTTTCAGAATCTTTTTCTAGTATATCAAGGCATATTCTCGCCAAAATTCAGGAAATACCCAGTAGTAAAGTGACCACTCGTTTTATTCCCTTTTCAAGATTTTTTATGGGAAAGATCCTTTCCAAGCAGAGAAGAATAAGGCTTTTATTCGAAAAGATGAAGAAGGGAGCTTGGAAAAACTTCCGTTTCCCTTTCAAAGTCCTTTACAGTTATATTTAGACCAGGGATTGCACGAGACGAGATTGAGACAGATTTAAGACCTTCTCGAAAAAAACGAGACAATTTTTGATCGAGACGAGAGGAGATAAAGATTTGATTTGGACTCTTGAACATCCAGAAACCTACGTTGAAAACGGAAATACTGCGCTCCAACATCGGGCAGCTGCGCAAGTTGCCCTCCTTGACGTACTGTTTCAGTTCGGTTATCTGAAAAAAATGTATTTCTTTGTTAAATGATAATATTTATGAAGGAGGGAAGTATTGTTGAAAATATTTTGATAAATTTAAATATAAGTTATCGGAAACGTAAGACTTACAGGTCACGGTTTTTTTTTTGAAAACTATTCATAGTCAAAAATGTGACGTAAATATGAGGGAAACATTAATATCTCGAAGTAAAAAAATTGATAAAAAAATTCAATCTTGTATATACTATTCAAAATAAAATCCGTGAAAACTTCGAGTCCATAATTTGATTGAAAGTTACTTTCCGGGATTTTCGAAAGTAGTATATACAACCAAATTTTGAAGCGAACAATCAGAATTTCCTTTTATCACATCGTGCTGTTTTCAAATTTTTATAAATAATCATGTTATATAGAGATCAGCAGTTATTCTATCTTTTCGATTCTCGAACCGTCCACAAAAACCGAACATTCCGGACGTTTCTGAGCAACTCTAGGGGTCACTTAAGAGTGCTGATGACACTAAAGGGGTCACTAGAAATGTTCAGATACGTCCGATTACCGGAGTCCTGCCATTTTTGGATAATGTTCAATCTCTTTTTTGAATTTTTCTCGACCGTGGCCGTCAAGATTTGAATGTATTTGTGTTATATCAAGCAGTTTTGACGCGTCGCGGTCGTGAAGAGGCCTCCACCTCTCAAAAGTGCGTAATTTGAATCTTTTCTGTAAACCTCGATAGCAAGGTAAGGTCCAAAATAATAAAACAAGTTTCCCTATCATCATTCAAAACGTTATGAGGTCTATATTCGATTATATCATTTTTTTAAAATTAGTTTGCATATAGGAAAAAAACCTTCAAGCTTTTTGGCGTCATCAACCTTGTTTTTTTCCATATTGATATAACTGTCTTTTTGAAAGCTCCTAACTTCCAAAAAAGAAAAATCGAGTTTCAATGGATTTAATAGAAGATCAAAACGCCCAAAAATGGCTTCGAGGCCAAAAAAAGATAAATCCTTTGCAAACTTTTTCAAAGCGGATTAACATATTTTTGAATAATATATCATGAATGCATACATTTTAGCAAATCAAATAATAATGCCGGATTTAATAAAGAACTGAAGATTAAAAATCAAAGATGAACTAGGAATCGGACCTAGATTTTTTTTAGTTGACAGTTTTCACATTTTTTGAAAAATCTATATCGACCTACTGCTTTGAGTCGCTTTTTTGTCCTTTTGCTGAAACTGAAATCTTGAAGAATTGCAAATCGCTGCACCAGGACTTTCCTAGTTATTATCAAAGCACTTTGTGGGCCAAAAACAACTTTTTTTTTCTGAAACTAAAATTTTTCAGAGCCGCCAATTGCAGCTCCAAAGCGTTCCAAGTCAGGATAAAAGCAATTTATAAGACTAAAACTTTGAAAAAGGTCGAAAACTGGACCGTAATGGGTTAGATTTCTTCTCAGTGGAAGCTCAAAAAGCCGGAAAATGACTGGAAAGTACAAAAGACTCTGTTTTTTGCAGGAGATACTTTTTCAAGTTAAAAGATGGTTTTCATGCTTCTTTCAAAGCTGAAAATGGCAGCGTTAAGGCGTTTTAAGCCAAGATCGACGCATATGTGAGCCAAAAACTCCGAAAAGAAGACAGAAACTCGGACCTTTTCTTCGAGGTAACTTTTTTCGCCAAAAAAAGACTTTTTTGAGATTTCTTCTGAAGCTGAAGTCTTCAATAGCTGCAAACCATCACCATAGTGCGATTCAAGCCCCACAAAAACACATTTTTCAAGCCTAAACTTGGACAAAAATCGAGAAACTCGGACCGAGATGCGGCTCAAGACGCGGTAGTCGATGTGGGAGAGGGAGGTGGAGATGTCGACGGGAGAGGATTGTTCGAAGGAGAGGGAGACCTGCCGAGCGACGGGATTCCTCACGGAGACGGACCTCAGCCAGGCGTACGAGGGCAGGTTGCTCACGTCGAGGGATTCCCGTTTGGACTCGTCGACGACGCCGTCGGAGATGGTCCGCAGCAGGACGACCTGGGCGCAGACCTGCGGCTGGGCGTCGAAGTGCATCGGGAAGTGCTGGATCCAGTAAGTCACCGCCGTGCAGATCGCCTCCCGGACTTCCGTGTCGCGGGTCTCCTGAACGAAAATTGGATGAAAAGCCCTTTTTTTCAAAGTTTAGGGACTTTATTTGAAAAATGGGAGCCAGAAAACTTAAGTAAAAGAAGTCATAAAAAATAATTTATTGAAAATTCTTGCTATGGATAGCCTTCTGATCCGTCAACTTTCGAAACCGAAAGCTGCTCCGTTTTGAAGCCTCGGGCAAAGTCGGAATGGTGGATAATGACCGTTAAACGGGAGAAGCTCAAAAAAGGCAGCAGAAAAAGGCATCAGAGAGGAAGCAAAAAGGTCCCTTTATCGAGCCTTGCATTTTTTTTCTTCTGGGATTTCAAAGGCTCAGAATGGTGGAAAAAGGAAGAGGCAGCAAAAATGGTGCGTAAAAGCCTTTGAATTGGCGCAAAAAGGCAGCAAAAAAGAGCCTTTATCACCCTAAAAGGAACATTTCTATAAAACCTTTTTTTACCCTTCCCGACTTTGCCTATGGATATGTAAAATGGAAGACAGAAAATTTGAAGAATAAGAAAAAAATACCCAAAAATAGTATTGATTGAAAGTTCTGAACATGGATCGCCCTCTGATCCGCCAATATTAGAAAAATTAAAAAAATTTTGTTCGGAAAAATCTTCATTCTTCTCCAACTGCATTCATCTCGTTAAATATTAAAAAAATACCTTCGGCTTAATTTTTTTACAGCCCCTTTCCGTTAAAAAAATTAGGAAATGGGTCAAGTTATACTCATTTTTGGCTGAAAATGAAACTTTAACAATTTTAATGACGTCCCAAAAAAATTTGGAAGAAACCAACCTATGAAAACAAATTAATTTCGATAAAAATTGGGCTTTTTGCATCAATTTTACTTCAATTTCCATGTCATATGGCAAAAAACGATTTTGAACACTTTTTCATGAAGTATAAAAATTTTTAATCAAGCCTAGAAACAGGAATAATATCTAAATTAGGCTCAAGTGGGCCCCTTCAAAAAAATGAACTAAAATATTCCGCAGTTTCTTGGAAATTTTTTTGAAAAAAAGTTCAAGTAAAATCTTCATTTTTTTGCCACTTTAGTGTACTTCGGGAGATATCAAGTTGTTTTTTTATTCAATTAATGAAATTTTACCTTCAAAAAAATGCTGAGATTTGAAAAAAATGAACAAATATTGAAAATAACTTCCCTAAATACGGCTTCAATAAAATTCCAAGCTAGGAAAAATAAATTCTCTTTTTTTGAACCTCAATACAGCCATTAATAAACAAATAAATATCCAAAAAAATTTCCAGTGAAGGAAAAAGATTTGCCAGGTGGAAGATCAAAAAAAGCCCAAAAAAATGGCTTCGACGTCGAAAAAAATTTAATTCGTTTTTGAAGCGGATTATCATCTTTCGAAGTTCTCAACATAAAAAAATCAATTTTTTTGCATGAAAAAAAGATATTTTTTTAAATAACGGTTTTCATAAAGAAACAGAGATTATGAATTAAAGATTACGATTGCTTAAAAAAATTATTATGAACTCTAACACTTTCAATTCAGTTAATAGTTTCCTCAGCTCTAAAAAATATAAATTTCGAAGAACCAATTTCATTTGGTTTTTAAGAAGCTCTTTTTCAAAACATTTTCCTTTCTATTCTTTCCGCCTATAACTCCTAGACGTTCGCCAGAAACAACTAAACTTGTCTCAAAAGCGCCTCGCAAACATATTATTATCAAAGAGAAGATTCCTAGCTCGGAAACCGGCAATTTTCGCAAGGTTTTAATATCCGTGTATATAAAGCTCACGCGGACGCAACCATTTATTACGCACGCATATCATCAGCTGCCAGAGTCCGAAAATAGAAACTCCCACATCTCCAACAGAAAAAAGAAAGAGAAAAACCTGAAAATAATTGACGAATTGAGTGATGAACTGCAAACTGTCGAGAAGCCATTGGTGTGACATGAAAAGCGAGTGCGAAAATTCTTCATCGAGCTGCTTTTCGCTTCTTTCTGAAAAGCATGTTGGCATTTAGTTGAAAAAATGAGTTTATCTAAAAAAATAATTATAAAAAGAAAAAGTCGCGTGTTTTAAAAATGCGTCCTGTGCATTTAGTCTGCGTAAGACACGCGATGTTAGTCTCACCGTGATACAAAAATACTTTTTTCTCGCAATTCTTTCGAACAAAGGAGTTTTCGCCTTCGCATTTCACATACAATTCCCGCAACTCGCTGATTTCAACGCAAATTTGATGGGAAGTCGGGACAAAACGAATTCACACCCATTAAAACATCACATGCGCATGTTTACGTTTTATGGCCATCGATGGAATTTTTCTTTGTTTTTGTTTGATTTTCTCGAAAAAAAATGGAAGTGCTACGGATATTGCTTTTTCGAGGGCTCTGAGAACGGGAACCGTGACGTACGAGTGCGTAGGCTCTATTATTGAGTTCATACTACAGGAAAAGAAGGGATTATGAAAGGAAAACGAGTGAAAAAAGGGATGAATATTCATACCGAATGACTTGATGCAGGAAGAGACGAGCTGCGGAGCCGTCATCGGCTTATCCCGAACCGATGACTCGTTTTTCTGAAACGTTCCAGTTAATAAGTTAATTTAATTGATGGAAAGGTTAATAAACGTTAGTAGTTTCAGAAGAAGGACCACTGGGAGTTTTAAAAAAAAACTTGAAAAAAAAATTAAAGGAGTTTATCGAAATTTTAGTGCGTTTATTATGACGTTTAAAAGGAAAGCTGAAAAGAGAAAACTGGTCCGAAAATAAATATTGTTCAAAACTACGTAACCGTTACGTTATGCATGAATCCGTTTCACTAACGACTATGGTATTTTTTCAAAATAAAATTTGAAAAAAAGACTAACCCTCTCCATTTTTGAATTTTTTCGGCTTCGGAAGATTTCAGGGCTGATCGGAACGACGACGCATCTTCCTCCCCGTTGTCGGCAGCCGCCGTGCGGTCACTTCTTTATCCTTTAATTATTATTATCAATTAAAAATATTATTCACTAGAGTATAAGTAGAAAAAAACTGTAAGGCGCAAAAACTGGAATCACTATCCGGATGAATAAAAGAAGACAAAAATAAAAAAAGAAGCCTTACCTAACCTTTTTTAGAATTCACGGCGTGTTCAAAGCCAAAAAAGAAACCCTCATCAAAAATGAATAGAACTTTCTTTACTACGGCCAAAAATGGAGACATCAATAAGTAAAGCTGAAAGATGGAGAAGCTGAAAGTTTTTCCGAGAGATATCAATAGCCACTAAGTAGCAAGCCATGAAGACGTTCGAAATCCTCGAAGATTGCGTCATTAAATAACGTCAAGGGAAATAAGTTTATTCCTGGCTCATCCAGAATCATCAGAAGCAGGGACTGAGCATCAAAAGACGATCAAAATTCAGAAAATTCTAATCAATCAAAGTGATGAAGACGTCAGAAGAGGCTTTGAAAAAGTATTATCATTATCTGGAAGAAAGAGAAAATCTTGAGAACTGAGAATAAGTCTAGTCAAAAATCCAAGAACGATGTGATATCTCAAAAGCGGAACTCAAAATGCACATGTCTGACATTCAACTTGAAAAAAAGCCACCAGCACAAAAAGCGTACCTTAAAAAGAAGTTCGCTAAAAAGTCAAACCGAAATTTTTGATGGAATTTGAAAATCTACCGAGCTTGAGTTCTTGAAGAAGAAGTTTAAAAAAGCTCAAAATTGTTTGAAATATTAAGGCAGATACTGAAAAAGGTTTTTCACCTAGACGTTCAATCAGGTTGAAAAATCGAGAAACATAAAATAGCGAAAATAAAAACCCAAGTTTGACATTGAATAAATTTAAAAGTACATTCAAATAAGTAAAATTCAAAAAACGACGGACTTTGATGAAATTTTTGACATCAATTTAGGACAAAGTACAGCTGGAACAATCTAAAACTCATAAAAAAGAACGCTTATCAAAATTTGAAGGAGATAACTTTCTCTTGAAACCAAATAAATCAAGATTATGAGTATACCAAAAGTTTCTGAGGACCTCCAATCATTCCAAAGCCTTTTACTTTATTATAACTTTATCTAGAAGCGTTATGAACTTATAGATAAGTCACGACAGATATCTACAACCTCCAGAAATTTAAAAACCAAGATAAAATTTTCAAAAAAAATTCTAGAACCAGTAAGGATCAGGAAGAGACGCTTTGATTCTGGCCTAAAGATAGTTCCGATAAGCTTTTATCAGTTCCTAAGCCCCACTAAATAAATTCTCAAGTTCGAGCTCAAATCTCTACTAAAGTACACGGAAAACCAGCAAGGATTGGAAAAGAGTCGCCTTTTTTCTGGTCTTCGGAAAAATCTGGAAGGCTTTGATCAGTTTTAAACAGATACCTTGGAAGATCCTTCAGAAGCCAAACCAAAGTTCAAGATCAAATCTCTACCAAGGTACACCCAGAACCGGCAAGTTTCAGAAAACATACACCCTACAGAAAAATCCGAGAAGCTTCTAGGAAGATTCATTCTAAAACGAACTGAATAATTCCATATTCAAGCCCAAATCTCTACCAAGGTACACACAAAACCAGCAAGGATCAGAAAACAGACACCCTACAGAAAAATCTGAGAAGCTTCGGTCAGTTCCGACTAGACATCTAGAAAGATCCTTCCGAAGCCAAACTAAATTTCAAGGCCAAATCGCCAGCAAGTATGAAAAAAACAACGTCTGTATCAAAAAAGAACATGCTTCTGGGACCAAATATATCAGAATGATGAAGCCTAGTCAAAGCCCCCTGAGAACGTCTAATCATGTCAAGAACGGCTGGAACGAGGCAAACAACGAGCAGAAGAAGGAGAAGGAGAAGAGTTGCCGAAAAAGGAAGAAGACGTGACCCAGGGAAAGGCGGCAAGTAGAAGTGGCGCCGAAGGGGCGCGAGGACTCAGAATCGATGCGGAAACGTGAGCCGAGGCTCTCTGCAGCTCAAGCGCGTTAGAGCGAAAAACCTCTCTCTTCGCCTCAGGGGCCGCCCGGAATCGATCCCGACTCCGCCCACTTTTTTCTCATCACTCCTTCTTCGGCAAACGGCTGCCCATTGTCGGCTTATGTCTCTACGAGGGTGAGAAAATGCGGCGTTGCTCATGTTAGCCTCCTGGAGGAGGACTTGGTCTTCTGGTCGCATTTGGAATGGCCGAAGCCTTTTGAGCTCGAGTTGAGATTTTAAATTTTCCTTTTAGGGAGCCACTGGAACTGCTACGCAACCGCTACGCGTTGAGCCATTCTCCTTGTAACCAATTTTCGAGTTTTGAAGGGTTTTTGCAATCTTTTCGAAACCACTATATAAAAATTTGGTTTCTGATTTTGAGAAGGCAAAAATATTCATGTTTAAAGAATGTTTCAACCCTTGTCCATAATTTCTACCTGGGAAAAACTCAAGTAGCCACTCAAGTGGCTTCTCAAGGACTACTTGGAGAGGACACTGAAGTGGCCACTAAAACCACCTCTATTAAAGCCCCTCCATTTCGTCTTAGTGGCCACTATAGTAGTTTTAGTGGACTAGTAGTAATACTTAAACTTCTAAAGAGGTCACTACATTTTCACCTCTTAAGTGGCCACTAATTCGACTACTATAGTGGCCAAATTTCCCCCCTGAAAACTCCCAAAAATTCAATATTTGAATGTCAGTTTTGAGCATAGTACAAAGTGAATTGCAAGAAGAAAATCCCAAATAATGATCCCGAATTGCTCATGTTATAGAAACGTATTGGAAACACGTGTCGCCATGTGAGTAGTGCATCCAGATGGCGGAAAAAAGTGCGTTTTTCGTTTTTCTACTTCCTTTTTTTAATGACACTCGGCTCAGACCGAGAGTAGAGTGAACGTAAAATTTTATGAAGGCAATGAGGAAACATTATAGAAGCGGGAAATATTCGATAAAATTCAGAAAATTCTCTGGTCAATTTGAAGGATTTTGTATAAAGTCTTTATACGTAACTTATAATAAAGAGGAAAATTCTTGTAACTTATTCAAGTAAAATTTAAAAAAAAAATTTCTTGTTGTATTATTTGAAATAGACTGGTCGCACGGAGAACGGCTCAAACTCAGAAAAACGCGTAGCGGTCAAAATGAAAGTGCAACCGACCAAAAACGACTTGCGCGTCGTCTCTCAAACTCAAGTTTCGTGGTGAAAGACGCCATTCACATGCCACCAGAAGTACTTTGAGGAATTCTGATCGAACTAAAATTTTCTCCGTCGTCCGAAGAGCTAGATTCAAGAAAAAGAATTTTAAAAAAGCACTGATCTATTGCTCATATTACACAAATCGGAACAAGGAAATGGATCGAAGCTTCTAAAAAACAAGAAAAAACGTATAAATCATGAGAAAATTGTTCTTCTGATTTTCTCACGGTATCGTGAAAAGCAGGCCAAAACACTTTATGAAGCTTTTAGTTCTGGAAAAATGCGTGGAATTCGCGCGGATTCCACGAATTTGGGCCGGACAAACATGCTTCAAAAATAATAAAAAGAAGATCCCGATGGAAAAAAAAGGGATCGAACTGGAAGGCCTGAATCAACAGACAAAAGGCGGGCGAGGCGCCGTGTGTATTTGTCCATTTTGTTACATTATTATTGATGGAACAAGGAAGAAAAGGGGGGAAAAAGGCGAAACTGATTGAAAAGTGCCACTCAATTTTCATCGATCGACGGCTTTCCTACACCTTTTTTTGCCTGGAAAAAGTAAGCTTTATTACATCACATTGTGTGGCCAAAAAGAACTATATACCATAGAAGTTTGTGTTTTGCACCATTTGGCATAATGTACATTGAAAGATGGGTCAGCATTTGCTATGGACATTGAAAGAAAAGAATCACGTGAAATTGTAGGCGTCAAGCTTCAGAAGCGCGAAGAATACAAAGGAAAAGCTTTTGGTAGTTAAGGAAAAGGTCGAAAGATCACTTGGGGGTGAGAAAACTTCAATGGAAGCCTTTCAGAATGACTCTTTTTAGATTTCTTTTCGAACCTCGAAAATTGGAGGTTCTCAAGGTATAATTTAGTTTAACCCGACCAAAACTTTTTCTATTTTCCTCCCCTCACAAGTTCTCTCAACAAAGCTTTGAGATACAAATAGAAACCTGAAGAATCAAAGAAAAAGACGTATCTAGACCTAAGAATCACTGTGCAAGAATCACTGGTATAATCAAGATGTCGGCAAAAAATCAAAAAGAAGAGAAAACAAGTGACAAGAAAGAAAGGATTGTTCGGGACCAATCAAAGGCAAGAAAATGAAGACTTCGAAGGGACCTTAAGTGGCCACTACCGCTTCCACCACTGCATCAGTCGTTTCGAGGCTGACACGGGCTGGTCGATGCCGCGGACGAAGCGAGAAGCTCGTTCCAGGGTCAGGTTCTTCAGACGTTCTTCGTCTTCCCGTCTGAAAGATTCGTTCGAACTTCGATAAAGTCATCAGTCTGATACAGTACTGCCCGTTAATTCTACTTTGAGAGGACACTGAAGTGGCCACTAAAACTACATCTACAGAAACCACTACATTTTGTCTTAGCGGTCACCATAGTAGTTTTACTGAACTAGTAGTACCACTCAGACTTCTAAAGAGGTCACTAATTTTCCGCCACTTAACTGGCCCTTAATTCGACTACTATAGTGTAAACTCTTCGTCTTCCCGTCTGGAAGATTCGTTCAAGAGAAAAAGATGAAGTCATCAGTAAAAATACAGTACTGGCCATGAAGGCACTCCAAAATGATTTTTTGGGCATATATCCACTGATAGCGATCCTAATGTCTCAAAATTTTGCACGAATTTCGAATAGCCATGCGAGAACTCATTGACGGAAAAAGAACCTTTTTTTCTCAACTAAGACTAGATTCGTGATCAGAAATGAAATGATTGTGAATTTTTTTTCATTTTTGAAAACGTAGCTCATTTGCAGCAAACTTTGCTCTTTCGACAATTTTCTGAAGTTTACATGGTGGGTCTATTTCAAACTTCAATGTTAGGTAGTTCTACAAAAACTCGGAATCATGAAATAAATTGGAAAAAAAATTACGTTAAGAATTTTTCAGGATTCTTTATTTTGAATTTTTGATAATCAGAAAAGAAGGATTTTACAAAAATCCCAGATTTTTTTATAAATATTTTTTTATAAATTTTACAAATATCAGTCAACTACTACAAAAAGAAGTCATTTTAGCGTGAATTTTTGGAATTCTTCATAACTCAAATAGTAAGTCTAATAATTATTTTAATGCTAACCGGCGCAAAATTCTAATTATTGACATTCTTCAAAGTTGAGTAATTTAATATAGAACTTGAAAAATTATATTATTTTTGAAACCAAAAATTTGCAAAGGTAGCAATTAACAGGAATCTTTATATAGACCTTCAGTGAATTTTGGGGCAAAAAATAAGCCACTGATTTCCATAAGAAAGACTATCTTAAATGCTCCGATTTCAATCAAAAGACATACGGGAACAATTAAAAACTTTGTTTCAACCTTATTAATATTAATCTACAGCCCTAGAAACAGGAATACCCTATTACCTCATTAGTTTCAAAGAACTCAAAATTTGAAAAATCGTCGTTTCTAATAATAAAATCGCTCAGGACACTTCTCAAATTCAAGAAAAAAACCTGAAAAAGAAAGAGAAAATTTGCAACATTTTCCGATTCTTATAATTAATCTGTCACACATTTCGCCTACAAAGGAAGTCGTTTTTGTGTGAAATTCTGAATATTCCATAACTTGAATAATCGGTCTTATAGTTACTTTAATGGTCACCTGTGTGAAATACTAATTTTGAAGATAAGATTTTTTTATATTTAATAAATAATGGTTTCTCCAGGAAGCTTCAAAACTAAGAGTTTGCAGCAACTCTCTAGACCTTCAATGATTTTTAGGGTCATTTTTTTTACAAGTTCACTGATTTCCTAGAAAAGGTTATCCTAAAAGCTCCGATTTCAATCAAAAGACTTATGTCAATACAACTTCTGTTTCACCTTCATTAATATTAATATACAGCCCTAGAAACAGTAAAAACCCGATCAAACTCACAAATTCTCTTCGGTGGCGAAGAGTTTCTGAACAAGGGCGTCTTTCTCGGCCCAGGCGCCCTTGTACTCTTGGATGAGCTTGTCCGTCCGGGCCTTCTCGTCGTACGTCTTCTGATATTCTGCAATCGAAGAAGTTGAAACTTGGTGCTTTTTTTTCTTAAATGTTTGACCTTTTTTTTTCCTTCACACTAACTCGAACATTCGTAACTCGAAATGGACGGGCTCCGGACGTTTCTGGGCAATTCTAGGGATCACTTAAGAGTGCTGACGCTACTAAAGTGGTCACTAGAAACGCCCAGAAACGTCCGGAGCACGTCCGTTTCGCGTCACGTCAATATATTTCCTAAATAAAGCGTAAATATAGTGTAGGGGCTTGAAATATACATAAAAGACCAAAAAAAAACTTATAAATGAGAATCTAAGTTCCTTTTACTAATTAAAAAAAATCTGAAGCTCTTAAATAAATGAAGCTGAAACTGTTCGGTAGACAAAACGGAGCGTTTCAAGAAAATTTGAGACGCGCGGCAAAATGGATAGAAGAAGTCACTTAAGAGCACTTATCAGCGCTACATGGACGGTTTACATATGAAATAAAGATGAGATTACCGTTCCTTTAATTCTTTATCAATTTTTGACATTCTTTCCAGGTTTCCTGTGTGCGTCCTAATTGAATTAAAAAATCCTAAGTTACAAACTACAGTTAAAAAATGAATGATCTTGAACTTCTGTGTACAACTTCTCGGGGCTGATTTAAAGATTATCTTACACTATAATGAATTCTTTCTGATATTTATTTCCTTTCATCAAACTCTTCGGAATCGAATTGAAGAAGTCACTACAGAGAATCCTTGGTCGAATTTTAAATATAAAAATTAAGACGAGATTCCTGTTCCTCTAAATCTTGATCAAGTTTTTGATTTTTTTTTTTCCAAGTTCTCTCTTTTAGTTTGATTTGAATTAAAAATCCTAAATTTTAAACAAAAGTTGGAAATTTACTGGTCTAAAAGTTCTATGTATGTATGTTACCCCTTGGCTGATTATAATATTATCCTTCAAAGACCTTTCCTAAATTCAGCTCTTTCCGTCAAACTCACCATCATCAGTCCTGGTGACCTCATCGACCTGCGCCTTCAGATCCTTGATCCTCTGCTCAGTCTGTCTGAAACACTCCAATGAATTCTTCATCCCACACAGATTTCTACCGTATGTTCTCAATGATATTGTAGTACTCCTGTCGGCCGACGAGATTGTTCTTCTCGTTGGTCAGCTCGATGAAGGTCTCCAGAAGGGTCTGCTCCTCGGAGCTTCCCTTCTCGGCCTCGTTGCACTTCCTGTTGATGGCCGCCGCCTGTTCCTCGACGTCCTGAAGTCGTTCTTCTATCCTTTCTTGCTCCTTCGTCGTTCCCTCGACGTCTTCCACGTCTTTCTGCAACGAACACTGTTTTAGAATCGCGATTTCTCAAATAATCCGTCTAAAAATGAAAATTGAAAACTCGAGGATCCTAAAAAAACACAAAAATATCATTTTTGATGTTTTTCGAGATGATTTAACATTTTTCTCACCTCCCATTGTGACTTTATTTTCCGGGTCGGCGTAGCTGTCGCCGAGTCCGAAGTCGGATAACCGAGGGCGTCGTTTATCTAAAAACTTCTTTTCTTCAAATATTCCGAAATTCCTGCAAAAGGTCCCCAAAATTAGGAAATTTTCGTTGAGACGTTGTTTTGGGAGGGTTACGTATGAGAAGCTGCAGGAGCCGAAGAAAACAACCAAGGGTCGCATAAATAACAATTACACCAACATGAAATATGTAGGAAAAACAAAAAAAGCGTTGAGAAGCGATAGGATAGAAAATATACTAAGGAGATATTTACCACGTTGGAACTTCACTAAAGCGAAATTTTTGAAGAAGCGTTAAAAAAAAGTTTAAAAGGTAACTTTGGAAATACGAAAAACCAAGAGAAGTGGCCAAAAAAAAATCGACGTGAAAAAAATTAAGATTCTTAAATTTCCACTCATCTAGTTTTCTATACAAACATTTCTTGACCTCAATTATCCAATCTTGAAAACTAAAAACATTTTTTTTCAAAGGCTTTCGGAGCCTTCTTTAATACGAATTATAGCTTTTTGTAAAAACTAACTTTTTTTTTCACGTGCTTTTCGTTGAAATTTTTTGCTAAAACGGCTTTATGTTATGAAAAATAACTATGGAAGTGACGATGTTTTTAGAAAATTAGGCCGTGTTTTGCAATTGTAAAATACGACCTTCACAATAATTAAGATATCAATTTTTCATTTTTCTTCATTACGATGTATTAGTATTATTACTATTATTTTTTTCTGAAAAAAAGACCGCCCACCAAAAATTGACCAAATTCTGCTTCAAAATATTTTTTTCTTGTAATTTTTGCAATGTTGTATAACAAAAGAAAATTTGGTTGCGGTAGCTATTTTTTTCCTGTGTTTAAAAAGAAGCTATACAATAACCATCCCCCACCAACACCACGATTTCACTCACGCCGTACTGCTTGGCAAACTGGGCCAAACTCTCGCGGAGTTCCGAACTTCGCATGCTTCCGTAGCGTTTGACGCGGTCCAACGCCGATACTTCTTCTGGCGCCGTCTGAATAATGACGTCACAAAGACAACCACAACAAAACACACAAAGTAGTTTTGAGTCCGTTGCAAGTCACAATCACGCCGTTAGAAAAATCAGTAAGAATGTGAAACAGGAAGGAAAATCGACTTCACAAGAGGGTTAAAAGGTCTTTTCCTTAGAACTGTGTATCCACTTTTCAAAATTAGAAAGTTTATTACAGCTAAATGTTAGAGACTAACACAAAATAATGACGTAAATTGCGAAATGGCTCGGATGAAAAAATACAGAACCTCTAGAACTTTCTTTCGAGCGAGAAATTTATTTCTGAATAAATCTAAACAAACTTATATTAGTTCTTCTCAACTCTATTAGTTCATAGAGCAGAAAAATCCACACTGTCAATTGAAAAAAATCAAGATTTACCCGTCCATTGCCGTTCGTCAAGTTGCGTCCAATTGCTGGGATGATCGGAGACTGATCGGGATCGTCTGAAAATCGGTATTTCAATCAATATTACATAAATTTATGTTTGGGCAGGACTTTTTTTATATCTCACGGACTAAATCTTTTTGTAAAGAGAAATTTTAATATAAAAATATTTTTGCAAAGATGCATTTTCAAAGTGAAGTAGATTCTTCAAAATTCATGAAATACCTTACACTTCTTCAAAATAATTTTCCAAACAACATGGTTTTGAAAAAAAACTTCAAACTTTATTTAATTAAACAATTTGGGCCAGGCTTCTCAAACCCTACTTCAAGAGAACACTAGGTGGCAACTAAAACGACCTCTATGGAAGTCACTGTTTTGTTTCCTAGTGGCTACTTTAGTAGCTTTTGTTTCGTAGTATCGCTTAGATTTTAAAGAGGCCACTAATTCGACTACTAGAGTGACCACTGGACTGTTGACCGACAGGAAAAGCTGTAGTAACCGCCGCCAAGTAGATCAAAATAACGTCGTTTTCTATTAACCTATAGACAAGCCTAAAGTGACCACTGGAACTACAGCTTCACTCCAAACGCAGTGGAAGCAGTTTTAGTTAAAAATTCCCCGTTTTTCAAACTCTATTCTAAAGTTTTTCAAACCACGCCAAAAACACGAAAAAAGCACGCACAACGTTTACGAGCAAGAATGGGTGAGGGGTCGCGTTTTTTGAAGCGATGCACGTCGACGGAAGGCCGCACCAGTTCTGCAAACACACCACGGGAAAATACACACAATACAGACTTCTTCTCACGAATGAGTTAATTTGAGATATCAATCCATTCCATTCCAAAAACTACCGTACCTACCAAAATTGATAATATTTCTACTGATTAACAAAAAAAGATGGAAAAAGTCACGAACCACAGTTTTTTTTTTCAAATTACACAGTTTCAAACTCCAAATCCATTCCAAACAGCTACAAATAATTCACGGCTGACTTGAGTAATCGAAAATGGGTCATGGCACGAAAAACAGCTCCTACATGGTGGAACAGGCCCTCGAGCTAGCCGTGAATCGACTATATCAAATCTACCACAATCTATGCTTTTTTCCACTACAAAACATAAAAAAAGCACACGAACCAACACGCCGGAGATCCGTCGAAGATCCTGATCTCGAATAGTTCGAGTTGAGCGGGGTGGTCGAAGCTGCATTCAAATTAATAAGTGAGAAATCAAGGCGAAAAAACAAGGCTACAACACACCAAAAGGTTTAATAGTTTTTATTTTTCGACTTTATAGTCTGTGTACCACGACTTGGAATTTCACGGAACGACATTCCGCTGTGCCGCTGGGCGCCTTTGCGAACCTTGGTCGCGCTTTTAATTTTTTTTTTTCTTATATTAAGGTAATCTACTTCCTTGTGCTCCCACAGCAATAAAAATCAATTGAAAGCGTGATCTAGAATCGAAAGACACTTCGCGAACGCACGCAGCGGAACATCGGAATGTCGTTCCGTGAAATTTCAAGTCGTGGCACACAGACTATACGTTTCTAGATTTTTTTTTTTCAAAACTTAAACGTCTCTACAAAGCCTACTATGAAAAACCTTAAACTTTTTATACTACTCTTTATTCACAAATTTTCAAGAAAAAATTTCAGGAACCAATACATCATTCACCACAAATTCAAATCTCCTCGTCGCATTTAGAGCGATTCTAAATGCGTAAAAGCGTCGCTTCAAGTGCACCCGACTCAAAACGACTTTCGCTATACGGTAAGTTATCGCCGCACTGTGCTGAATGTCGTAAACCGCGACGCACTGAGCCATTCCAAGTGTGGTCTAATTCGGAGCGAATAAAGCTTTCAACTATTTTTTTTTTTGATGAACACTTCACTAATACGTATCATTCTGAAAAATACATTTTTCAAAAATTTTTTTCGAGTTTCTTATTTTTTGTTTTTATAATGTCAGATTATTCTTTTCTTCCTAAAAAAATAAATGACTGATCTTAGTTCAACAAAATGTATTTCCGGACACGCAAAATGGACAAAAGACTACATTTCAACATAAAAAGACATAGGGAAACTGAAAAGTACCTTTTCAAACTAACCTAACTTTTCGCATGAGTTTGAGGGATTAATTTATGGGCGAGGTCTAGAAAAATTGAGCCGAAAAAAAGGTTGAATAGTAGGTCTTAATGTATAGCTCTATCAAAAAAACTCATAATTATGTGAAAAAAATTATCAAATCGCTCAAACCTAATAATGCGTTTTAAATTAAGAATTCGGAATTTCATTGAACCGGCCATATAAAAAAAGCGTTCGCATTATTAAAAAAATTTTTAAGAGCTTTTATCTTTTTCGAGGTCTGAAAAAAATACCTTTATTCGAAGAAATCTTGAAGGTCGCCCCGTCGGTGACTGCTTGATCCAGTAGCCGACGAGCTTCTTTCAGCTTTTCCTCATCAACCTCTTTCTAAAAAAAAAGATTGACAATATAGGTTCTGAAGAAGCGGGAAATTGAACAAAGAAGGAGATAAGGAATTCGTTAGAAAATGTTTCTTTGTCCGCGCCCTCCTCGTCTCTCGGCGACCCTATCATGTTTAGGGGATATTTTCCCGTTTCTCTGACGTCTCCGACGAGGGAAAGAGAGACGCAGACACTAGAAGACTTTGAAGTCGCGCCGGACAGACTATACAATCTGTTCAGATTTTTAAACCGTATTCTGCCGATTTTACCAGCAAAGCTACACATTAAAAGTCAAAAAATCTAGCGCTATTGAAGGATCATCCTAAGGCGATGAAACATCGACGCGAAAGCTACCATGAAAAAAGGCTCACAGATACGGAAGGAGTTCCCGACGCCTTCTCGATCATCGCCTTCGCCTGTCTCCGCAACTCGTCTTGTTTTGCGGGAGAAGCGTTTCGACCCTTGAAAAAAAATCATTAAATCGATAAATCGATGAGGAAATGAAAAAAAACATCAAATCGAAGTTGTTAACAACAATCAGCAGATTTAAGTTCCAAGTAGGTAATTTCTTCATTGAAAAAATTGAAAACTATAACTGTTTTTCAATATTTTGTAATTCTCTGTTATTTATTTTGCGAAAATCTCCAAAATTTTCGATTTTCGGGACCTTAACCATGCAAAACTTCCAAAATAAAAACCAAAGCTTGAAGATTTGAAGTTCCAGACTTCACAAACGGGAAAAAAAATAGATCCTTCCCAAAGTCCCTCATAAAAGAACCTTGAATCATTCAATATTTTATAATTCTCTGTTATTTATTTTACGAAAAATCTCTACAATTTTTTTGATTTTCGTGACTTTAATCATGAAAAATATTTAAAATTTGTACCGAAGCCTTGGAAATCCAGGCGTAACAAACAAGAAAAAAGGTTTTTCAATATTCTACAGTCCCCTATCATTTATTTTCCTAAAACCCTAATAATTCTCTGAAACTGATACCGAAGCTCGAAGATTCGATATTCCAGGTGTAACCATTGTAATCGACACATTTTGTCGGCCGAAAGACCTTAAAAATCACGATTTTCCCTTCTAAAAACTTGAAAATTAACTAACAAGTTGGATTTTTCATTTCCTTCCTCATCATCAAAGGGATCTCTCGGCAAAGTCGAAGTTTTTGATGAGGAAACCTCCAAAAATGACTATAAAATTGAGAAAATCTTTTTCGAATCACCACAGTGGTCACTTTAGTGGTGGGGGTGGAGAAGCTTTCCGGCAAGGGCTGGGATTCTTCCTGAAAAATGCGAAAAAGTCAGGAAAAATTCTCACAACCGTTTCGAAACTGTAAACTCGTATAAATCCTACTTTTTTTCCGAAATTATATGAAAATCACCTCAACATTTGTATAATCAACGGCGCCTTCCAATTCGTTCTGTTCCCTGAGTTTCTTGATCTCATCCAGGACCTGCAATTTTTGAAAAAATGAAAAAAAGGCCTTTTTCTTGAAAATATCACCTGCGACCTTTAGATTGATTTGAAGGAGAAAATTTTTTTCAAAGCAGCTGTCAATTAATTTTTCAGTTTTTCAGCTCTCAGCAACCTTTTTCGGAATTCTTGGACAGCCGTTATTTTTAAATTTATTTTTTTCACTCAAAAAAATATTTCCGGAGAAAACGTCTACAATTACGGAATCATAATTATGAGGTTTCATTAAGGTTTTCAAAATATTTGAACTTTCAAGAGTAATTGAAACTGGAATGCTTTTTAAAAAAAGGCTTTCTTTTTAAAGTTTGAATTTCGGGCTCTGGAATAATGAGAAGATTAGTACTTTGGCCATAGTATATTTTTTTAAAGAGCTGAATTTTTGTCCTACGTCTTCCAATTGAACTAAATATTAAAAATAAAGTTTTTTTCAAAGGAAGCTTTAAACTTATTATTCAGCTATCCAGCTTTTTACAAGAGAATATTTTTTTGGATTTTTTTATTGCGAGACTGTAATTTTTCACACCTTTGGTACACATAAATCTCGAGAAAAAGGCAAAAAAATTGAGAAATGAAGCTGTTTTTTTTCTGAATCAATTTGATTGTTTAAAAATGGCCTTAAACCTTAAAGCGCAACTTCTTATTCAAAAAAATCTTTATTTCTGGTTCTCCAATACCAAAAAAAGCAGTAAATTGACGTGAATGAGAAAAAAAAAGTTTCTTCTTACAATTCAGATAAAAAAATTTGAAAGCCATTGTAACCGTAACTTCTTATTCAAAAGAAAAAATTTTCATCTCTGATTCTCAAATACCGAAAAGAGCTGTGAACTGACTATGCGTAAATTGGAACAAAAATGTCTTCTTTCAATTCAGATTTTATCGGATTCTTATGGAAAAATCTATATTTTTTTCAAAAAAATTTCCCCATTAATCCAAAAAACTTAAAATTGAGCCCATTTTCGGAAACTAAAAATATAACTGGAAAACAACGGACGGATTTGAAATTATGAGTGAATTGGAAAACAAAATTTTTTTCTTTCAGTTCAGGTTTTCATCGTATTCTTATGGAAAAATCTGTATTTTTTTCGAACTTTTCCCCCTATTAATCCCCCAAAAAATCTAAAGTTAAGTGTATTCAGGCACTAAGAATACAATCGGAAACCAACGGAATATTTTGAAAAGCCATTGAAACCGTAACGTCATCTTCAAACGAACCTTCATCTCGGACTCGGAAATGTTGTAGAGCTGGGAGATCCTGTGGTCGGAATTGCTGGCCGGAGTCGATCCGGCCATGGCGCCCTCGACGATCCTCCGGAAATGTTCCAGAAGATGCTTGATTTTGCTGCTGTTCGGCGTGAGGATCTCGTCTTCGTCCGGGATGTCGGAGATGCCCATCCTCAGGAACCCGTTCAACGCCTTCAAAACGACTTCTTTCGGAACTTTTTCCCCAGAGGGTCTCATAAATTCCCACTTTTAATTGCCTCAAAAATGGCTGAGAAAAAAGGCTTGGATGAACTCGAAAAAAAAAACTTTGAACTATAGAAGGAATGGAGAATTTCGAACTTTGGTAGATTCAAGTTTTATTTAGTTGTTGTCTTTAGGAAATGGCAGGATTATAAAGATTATAATTTTTTTATAAAAAAATGCTAAAAATTTGGGTTTGGAAATCTTATATCTATTCAAAAGACCAGAAAATAAATCGTATCATTTATTTTCATAATTTTTGAACCTTATAACTTGTTCTATATAATTCAAAAAGACTATCAACTTTTTGAATAGGCTCGAGAAAAAATTTGAGATTTCTTCTTTTTATAAAAAAATAAGTAAAATTTCTAAAATCAAAAACAGAGAGAGTAACCAAAACTTGAAAAACGTTTTTATAAATAGAAAAAAGCTAAAACTACAAGAAAAAAAAATATAATTAAAAAAAATACTAACAAAGTTATCGAATTCAAATAAAAATATACACTTTCCAACATTTATCAGAATCTCAGAAAGGCAAGATGTAAAAAATACAAAAAAAAACACCTTTAAATAAAAATTTCGAAAAAAAAAAGAAAATTACCATTTTTCATTTTTCAATCCGTACCCTTCAATTAGAAATGAATTTTTCAAAAAGCCTCAAAAAAATGATTTCAAGATTTTTTCAGAAATAAAAAAACTGAAACAAATTCGGATCTCAAAAAAAGTGAAGATGGCTGAAAAAGGTTGAGGAAAAAAAGTTTTTTTGTTTAAATAGAAACTACAATTTTCCGAAAATTCTTCTCTACAAAGGCTAGAAAACACAAAAAGTGGAGAACTACAATTAAAAAATCTTTAACTCATCTTTAAACCCCGAAAAATGTTAAAATACTGAAAAAAAAATCAAAAAAAATTAATTTTAATGCAATCTTCTTCTTTATTTTCCCCACAGTTTATTTCCAAACCAACCTTCTTAACATTCGATTTGCGGCCATTGAAAGTGTCGGAAAAATCCAAAGATTCATAGTCAGGAATCAAATCGCTACGGTAAGAATGTACAATGGCGCAGAGGGCCAATCCGGTCCGCCAGGATTTTCTGCGGAAAAGTTCCAATACTTCTTGTGAATTAGATGAAATCCAAACGTGAAATCAGTGACTCTGACGCCGTAATAGCCTTGAGTTACCCTCTGTGTCCATTGGAGCAAAGATTCTCCATCAATGGGTTCTGGAGCGGAGATCCGGGCGGGTGCTCGTGGGGAGTGGGATCTTCTGAAGGAGAACTATGGGTATAGTCTTTTTCCGCCAGCTTGTCACGATTATTATTTTCCTCCGGCCTATAAAACCCTTACGGGAAATTTCCCTCCGGTACTCGTTGTCTGTTTTTCTACATGCGCCTTTAAAATAACGGAAGTTTCCGGTCCGTCCCGACTATTATTCTCCTCCGAGCTACAAAACCGCTAGCAGCTTTTTTCTGGACATGCGCCTTTAATAAAACATAAATTTTAGGCCTGTCACGATTATTATTCTCCTCCGAGCTACAGAACCCTTCCAGAAATCTTCCCTTCGATGCGCGCGGCCTTTCTCTCAGCATGCGCCTTTAATTTAGCCCTGAATACCGTTTTTTCAAAGGCGCATGCACAAAAACAAGCCACGCGCATCGAAAGGAGTTTTCGTAGCTGCGAGGAAAATTAAGCCGTGAGAAACTGGCGCGGGATGAGCTATAGTTCCAAGTGAATAAATTTTGAAAAAGTTGACTTTTTGAGAGTAGACATTCTAGAAGAAATTGGAATACAGTCATTCTTTGAGAAATTCTATTAATTTCGTACAGAAATTTGTCATTTTATTTTCTATTTTTATCTTTTTGAGGTTTTCTGGTCGTTTCTTTTTCAGATTTCTTTGGGTTGCAAAAAGTATCCGGAAACACCTGAAAATCTTCACTCAAATTGGCTCATTTCCAAAATTTCAAGTGAATATGGACAACCACTTCGTTAAAGCTTAATCAAAAAAATCAATACAGTAAATCTGAGTCAGAGAAAAAAATACGTAAATATGAAAGATTTGTACCACATTTTTTTTAGAAAAATTGCACAATATATCTTCTCTACAAAATGAAAAGACTTTTAGATTATCTTGTTGAAAAAAATTCAGAAAAAAACAGTAAACTGAAATGATGAAAAACGAACGAATGAACGCCCCGAGGCATCGAATTCGTGCCAAGAAGAGCTGCTGAAATCGGGACAGCATGCGATTTTTTTCGTCGACCTGGAAAAAAAGAGGGATTTTTTTAGAAAGCTTTTCTTTTTTTTCAAAAGATTTTTCTTCGTTTCGACGCTAGAAAATGCAGTCAAAAAAATAGTAAAAAGTTGACTAAAAATCTGTTCAGAATTTGAATGTCAAGTACAATGACGTCATTAGAAAAGCGCTCTGTGAATGTCTCGCTTTATGATTGGTTTTATCGCTCCATAAGAGGCGGAGCTTGAGCCACGAGCCTTGTTATTGAAAAAATCTAGAAACACTATTTTTTTGATGCATTTTCACGACTCAAACTCATCTTTTTCACAACAAAAAACGAAAAAAAGGCTACTTTTTCGGATTCTGAAGCCATTTTCAATCTGATTCATACAATAAACTCCATAAAAATCCCAAAAATATGTTCCCAAATCCTCCCTACATCTATTTCGTGAATTTTAGTACTTCTGTGTGAGAAATAAAACATTTTGATTAATTGAAAAGTAGAAAAATACCAAATTTATTAAAATTTCACCTCAAAAACGATGTTCGTCGCCGGCCGATCTTCCACACTGGCCCTGCTGATCCTGGCACCAACTCTCTCTTTTTCTTTTTCTTTTTCGTTTTCCTTCTCATTTTCCGGCTCCGGCTGCTTTTCCACAGAAACTCGCCAAGGCGGTCGAACTGGAAAAGTGAAATTGAGGAAAACTTAAGTGGCTACTCAAGCGGTTCCTCGAGGTCTGTGAACATGAATAATTTAAAGGAATCAATAAACTTTTTCGATCTGGAGAAGTAAAATTGAGTTTTTGTAGTTGTGAAAGTACTGGGAAAACTATAGCCGTACCCTTAAGAGGTCCCTTGAGGACCATAAACATTAATAATGTGAAGAAATCAACAAACTTCTTGAATCAGGGAGAGTGAAATTGATTAATTAAATGCAAAAGTAGTGGGAAAACCTTAAGTGACCACTTAAGTGGTCCCTCAAGGTCTCTAAACGTGAATAATTGAGAGGAATTAACCAACTTCTTCCATCGGAGAAAGTAAAGTTGAGTATTCAAATGTGAAAACACTGGCTAAAACTTAAGTGACTACTTAAGAGGTCCCTCAAGAGCTACTTAGAGAGATCTTCAGTGACAACGTGCTTCAAATTAGCGCAAAAAGAAAAAATTGAAAATCTGGTAAACCACAAATTTCTAATAATTTTTTAATAAAGTTTTAATCAGCGACCTCAAAAGCGGCCCCTGAAATTTCTACAGGTTCAATGGTACCATTCAGACTTCTTAAGAGTCCACTATTTTATAACCACTTCAGTGACCACTAATCCGACCACTACATTGGCCACTAAAACGCCAAAACCCTCACCTTTACTCGGCGCTTCTTCAGGCGGCCTTTCCGCATGTTTGGGAACTGGCGGAGCTTTTTCTTCGACCTCAACTTTTTTCTGCTGCGGCTCAAGGCTTCTGTGGTCAGGCTCGGCACTTCTCCACTGTTGAATTGAGCTCGAAATTTCGGTTATTTCACGGGCGGCCACTGGAAATGGGGAGACTTCAAGAAAACATTAAACATGCAAGGAACTCAAAAAAGTTATAAAAATATAGATGAAACTGGAAATTTTCATTGAGGCCTCTCAAAAAAAGCTTGAGAGGTTCCCCTAAAGGCTCCAAAAACGATAAGACAGTCTTTGAGTTCCTTTTTCATAGCCTTAAACTTTTTTGGGTTCTCTGGAACCTTTTTAGTTGCTCTTTAGCATACTTTTTATTAACGGAATTGAAAAAGATGCCAAAGTAAAAAAAAAATTCCTTTTGACCATTTTTGAGAAGCTTTTCCATTGCTCAAGAAAAAAAAAACAATAATGAAAAAAGCACAAAAAAAGCTCTGAAACTTGTTTTAAACGCGAAAATCGAAACCAACCACTATTTTGAGCATTTTCCACCCTGGCAGCGTCGGGTACAGTTATTTCTCGAGGAGTTCTATCAACGCTGGATATTGAAGAAGCTCGGCTGATTTCGTCGGCTCTGAAACGAAAAAAAAATCGCCCTTTTTCTAGATTTTCCATGAAAAAAATGAGCAAGTTATCTCAACATTTCTTATCAAACATTATTAAAATATTATTCAGAAGACCCCAAATGACAGTAATAAGAAAAAAATAGATTTTTTTCACTCAGAAAAAAATTGTTCTTGAACTCAAAAAAAGTCAGATGTTACAGTTTTCTTCTTTCTGAACTCTTAATAATTTTTTGGCGAACAGCTTGAAAAAAAGTAAAAAAAGATAGTGGATAAAAATTCTGAAAAATTTCTATCGAATTTTTATCAAGCTCTCTAGCAATCAGTAACCATACAGTTAATTTTCAAAAAAAGTGAATGTTTTTTTAAATATTCTTAAATATAGAGCACCCTCAGTTTTTTTATAAATCTCGACCAATCAAAAATCTTGCTTTCCTTCAAACTTCAGAAAAACAAAAACTCCTTGAAAAAAACTAGAAAAAAATGACTTTTTCTACTTCTTTAAAGATTCTATTTCTGGAAAAAAAGACTAAAAAAACATCTTTGAGCATTCTCTATTAATCCGTATGTATATAGTTACCTTACAAGAAACGAAAAACCTATTTCTTCCCAACTTTTATGGAAAAACATCCTCATTTTCTACGATACATCCTTCCATTTCAAGTACACCTCATCTAAAAAATCTTTTTTTCTTTCCGAAAAAAAACCAAAATAATGAATCCTAACAAATCTGGACCAGACAATTTTTTCTATTTCTGAATTTTCTTCCTCCTCCAAAAAGACTAAAACTAACAATCCCTCCTTGAGCATCTGGCTGGCGAGCAGAATCACCAGGGAGCACTGTTTGAGGTGCGGATTCAGAGGGCGGAGCTTGAGTTTGAGCTCGCTGTGGTGCTCGGGAAGGTCGAGGATGAAGAGCCGGACGTTCAGGGGGACTGCGGCGATCGCCTTCCGTTTCCCCTTGGCGTTCACTTCTTCCACTACGATCGTCCATTCCTGGGATATGAACAAATATATTTGGGATCATAAGGGGGGATTAGAGACTTATGGAATTTTGTATGTTTGAAAACACAAGAACTTAAAAAAATAAGTGCATTCTCCTCATAGTGAGAGCCCATAGGTTAAAACAGCAAATACTTAAAAACGAGAGAGTGGTCCCTATAGGGAAGCTTAAGGGACACCTTTAAGGAAAACCTTGACTCCCCCTATCAGGCTTCTGAACCTATCAAAAGAGGCCACTCTAGGGGAGAATTTAGATTTATAAAAAAAGTCGTTTTAATTTTCAAAACACGCAAAATATAAAGAACCCTGTAGGGATCACTCAACCTTTAGGAGCTCAAGAGGCAGCTCTTTAACCCCCATAGGGACCACCTAAATTTCCCCCTCCAGGGAGAACCTCTAAGAGGTTTTTTCCCTAACCGCTCTAGGGACCACTCTGGCATTCCTAAGTTATAGAAGAATCAATTTTTTCATAAATGTCAACAGTAGCACGAAATTACAGTTTAATAAAAAATTTTCGAGTTCTGAAAACTCATAAGGAGTTTGAAACCGTAGTCTTAAGCGATGTAAAGGTGCGGCTCAAAAAACTGAGCCTTTGAAAATTTCACCAACCTTGTCATCAAACTGATCATCATTTGAGGTTTTATACAAAGTCGTGACAACGTCCAAAGTATCGGCCGCGATTTCTGGCCAAACAATCACACATTGTGAACTGTTGGAAAAGGATTGCTCCCATTTCCGCTCTTTGGAGGAGATTTTTCGTCTTCTGGAAGTTTAAAAATTGAAAAGGAGATAGAAAGATCAAAAAAGTATAATTGAATTAAAATACGACCTAAAAATTGAAGTTCTTCCGAGATCGTGAAAATTTTTAACGTGTGCTTTTCAAAATCCTTCTCGAGTTGTTTGAAGGAGCAAAAACCATGAAAAAAAAATTTAAACGAAAGCCAAGTTCAGTATCTAGAAAAATGCAAGTCTCAGGCATAATTTTGCAAAAATTAAATTCTAAAAAAATCTTTTTTTGAAGCTCAAAATCAAAAAAATTATAATTTTAACAACCAAGATAAAAAAATAACAAAAAGTTGCTTTTCTGCAATATTTTCCCACATGCTAAAAGTAACCGCGCTCTCTGACCTGTGCAAAAACGAAACAACAATAGTTTCCGGCTTCCAGACGTCGTCAGCGACCAACAGAAGCTCTTGTAAAGTTACAGTGAAACGGAAACGGGCGGCCTTTTTACTTGAGCGCCGCAAGCGACGCAACATTCCGGCCATACTGAAAGAAAATATCGTTTTGAAAAGTACATTGAAAGCATCACACGTCGTGTCAAGACAAGCGGAAACTCGAGCTAAATGTGAGAACCGACGAGAAAACTCGGCTCAGCACGCGCGAATTCCGATACGACGAGACAGCGCTGGAAATGAGGGGAGCGACAGGCGTCACGCCAGTTTTGTGCATTCGCCGTCGCTGCTTATCACATGATCTTTTTAAGCTTCCTTACTCATTCATTAAATTGAAACTTTTGTTTTCTTTACTACTTCTTGGATACAACTTCCAGAGTTTAACTGCGTATCACCGACATGAAAACGCTGACAACGAAAAAAAAAATTTAGAGCATCTGCCTGGTCATGAATAACACTTTGAACAATATGATAATAAATTTTCAGGAGAAAAAAATGAAAAAAATAGAGAAATGAATAAATAAAAGGTGTAAACAAAAAATTTATGTATTACTGTGAGAAAATGACTGCAGACACAAACAGCGTTCGCACACCAAAACGGCTGACCTCACGACGTTTTTTTATTTTTGAATTTTCGTCGAAGTTTTTTTGCGTTTTTCTCATATGTTAATGTTTTTTTCCTACTAGAATCGTTTCTATCGAGAATTATCACATATTCAATTTATTTTTAGTTCGTTGAAATCGCAGTTTTTGCAATGTACTCAGTCAAATTTGATATTTAAACCAGTTAATTTTTTCAGAGGCCAAATGCGGGTGTTTTTATGTATTTTTGCCCTAGTTTTAGCCGTAAAAGCAGAAAAACGGTTTCGATCTGATAAGATCAACTACATTTATGATAAAGCGCTACAACACGTCCAGGATAAGCAAAGACTGTCCAAGTTAGAGGTTTGGATGAATTTATCGTAATAATTTGAATGAAACATATTAGTCTGAACTTTCAAACTACGACGGGGTCTATCTGGACACTAAAGATCTCCACGGTTCTGGAAAGGTCTTATTTTTAATTTTTTGAAAATAAAAAAGTATTTTAGGTCGCGGATTTGAACAAAGCACTTGGAAAGCTCGATAAGAAACTTGTCACAGTTTTGGAAAAGTATGGCCTTGAAGAAACCGTGCAATCTTTCAAAGAGGTACATAAATTTTTTTAGAGGGTAAAATTGATTGGATTTACAGAAAATGAAGCTGAAAAACGCCTGGGAATACAAAGAAGAGAATTTGGAGCTGCCTTCGGAAAAATTTGCCGACGAAAGATTGCAAAAAATTTGGCAACAGGCGATGATCGGCAAATTTTCCGACAGCGAAATGCTTGGTTTGTTAATTACAGGTGTTTTTTTTCGCACAGTGTTCTGTTTGTTCAGAACTTCACAAAGAACTGAAGGAAGTGGAACGGAAAATGAACATCTACCACGACTCGCTCAACGAGTTCAACAAGGTGAATAACTTGATTAGATAAGGAACAGTTGATAAAGAATGTGTCAATTAATTTTTTTGCGAGATTTACAGTTTCAAAATATTTTTTTATAATATTTTTAATCATTTTCAGGGTCCCCACGAGAATTCTGTGAATGCAGATCATGATGATCATCGAGAAAAGGTTTTTTTCTAAATAATAAAAAAAGATGTCTTTCATGGCAAAAAAATGTTCATTCTAGAGGTTTTTTTTAATAAGTGGTGTTGTCTTGCATAGAAGCAGCATTTATTTCTAACTATTTAAATATTTCAAATTTTTGAGAAACAGGAAAAAGTCTTTTTGATTTTGATTTTTTTGCTCAAAAAAACTCCATATACTCATGTTGTTGTCTCGAAAAAGCCTTGGCGAAAGTTTTTTTCGATTGAAATCTTCGAATTCAAAAAGTAGCGAAATTTCTCTAAATTTTTTTGGATATAGTGTTTGAGAAACCGGAAGTTCATTTTTTTAAATTTTTTTACTTGCGAAATTAAGTCAAAAATAACATGAGTTTCAGTTCTAAATTGATAAAATAACATTTTTATTTAGGTTCAATTTTGGATAGTTAATTCATTTTGTTTTCATTTATTTGAGAATTTCGGGAACTTTTTTTATAACTTCGAAAAAGTTATTTTTTTCTTCCATGTGAAAAAAATATAAAAGGAAGTTTTTTACAATTTTGTTTCCGTACTAAGGAAGATTTTCTAGTTTCATCGACGATAAGAATTGTGAAATCGTGTTTTTGTTCATTTCATTTCTGTCTTGTTTCAAATGATTATTTTTTTAAACAAATCTAGCTTGATTTTTTTGGATTTTCTCTTGAAATTTCGTTTTTCCAGAAGTTTAATGAATCCTAAAAATCAAGTTTGTTCTTTGGTTTCCTTAATAGTTTGTTTGATATTTTAAAAATATAAAAATTTTCATCACCTTAAAGGATAAATTGAAGCCTTTAAACAAGTTTCGGGACAATTTTTATTTTTTTTTAAATTCGTTCCAAAATTTCAATATACCTTTCCTTTTTTTCTTGTTTTTGGTTTTAATTTTGAAAAATTATTTTTTTTCTTGGTTGCAGAGGCTGATAAGAGTTAATCAGACGCCTAAAAAAACAATTATTTTAGCTGGTTTATTTTATAAGTATTTTTGCATATTTTGCTACTGTCTTTTTGCTGTTTCTGGTTTCCCATAATATTGAGAAAAAAAACTTTTAATTTGTTCAACTTCTCCACACCTAATTTATTTTGAAACTCTGTTTCAGGTGAAACAGCTGAAAAAAGCCAACAAGGAGATGAACGATCACCTGTCGGAAGTCCACAAACGCGTCACTTCTGAGGAATATTCGCCCTTCCGCGAGGAAAAAGTCAAAAGATTGTGGAAATTGGTTAGTTTTCCATGAAGAAAAATGGAAGATTCGTTTTTTCTATAGGCTCAAGCGAACTCGAACTTTACGACCCACGATTTGGACATTTTGAAAGAGGAATTGCTCCATTTCGACAATCAATTGAAGAAAATTGATTTTCACAAGGTTTGAATTTTTTTTTTAATTAATGGAGAAGAGAAGTCCTTTGAGAAATTTTTTTCTAATTTTCTAAATAATTAAAATTTTCCATTTTCTGAATGGAAAGGTTTTTGTGTCAACTTTTTACAGCTAAAATATCAGAAAAAAATCCATTTTTTTTTCTATTTTGAATGTTACTGCGTTTGAATTATTATTGATCATTGCTGCGAGAAAAAAATTTGAAAAAAAGCTTCGTAAAAAAATTACATTAGTTATTAAATGGAAACGACGCACTAACTATTAAAAATTTTTGCATCAAAAATAACATGTTTTTTTATAAATGCGTGAAAAACTGAATCAATGAAATTTCATGAATCAATAAATAAATACATTTGACGGAATTAGAGTCCTCATACTCCATTCGTCTACAGCTTTTCTTTCGTTAAACTTTCAGAAAAGAGAAAAAACAGTAAAAATTGGAATGGCTTGAGATCTAGTGGTTGATTTAAGTTGCACCCGACTAAAAACGGCTTTCGCCCTGGAGCATCGCAAAATGTTAGAGTAACCTGTTCAAGTTCAATTTTGAACCGTAGCGCGACCGCAACGCTTTGAGCCATTCCAAATGCGGTTTTAATTCCTATTTGAATACTTTGTTTATTTTTCTGATTTGGAGAAACCTGAAGATCTAAAGAATGTGCCTTTTATTTTTCAAATAGTCATCGATTAGTATGTGGAATGAATAAATGAATAAGTTGTATATAATAAAAGTGGGAAATACAGGAATTCGTGAAAAAAATTAGCTCGTAATTGGGGCCGATTTGCAGAAAGAACTCGGAACGATGAAGGAAATGCGGGAAAAAGAGGGCAAATCGAGTTTGCAGAATATCGAAGGCGCCGAGCTCGAGGCCCGCCATGAGAAGTTGTCGCGGAAAATCCGCAAACTCGAGAAATATCTCGAGACCAAAGTCACCCATTCCGAACTTTGATCTGTAGATTTGATTCTGAACAAAAGTCTTTTCGTCTTGAGACCTTCCTCAAATCTTCCTATGCTCCTTTAAACACCTTAAAAAGGCCTTTACAGTCCGTTTTTCGCGACTTGGAACTGTTGTTCTCTCTGCGCCCTCCTCTCGGCAACTCTCTCATTTCGCTGTGCTATTTCCATGTTTCTCTGACCTCAATGCTGAAGGAAAAGAGACGCAGACAGGTCAGACGGTTTCAAGTATTGGTGAATGAAGACGTATTTTTCATTTTCCGCCACTTGAAAATGTTCTTTTTCTCTGCGCCCTCCTTGTCTCTCGACGACCCTCTCATATTACCGTGCTTTTTCATCTTTCTCTGACATCTCCAGCGAGAGAACAGAGAGACGCAGACACTCGAGAATTTTCAAATCTCGCCGAACGGACTATAGAAAGTTTATTCATAGTACATTCTATAGATTGTAGATTTATCACTTACCGCATTTTGCTCAAAATCTGGTCCCAAATCGTGCTCTTTTAATATAATATCCGGGTAAACGTTGGTGTAGGTTCCTTGTTATTTTGTTCACTTTGTTCCCCTGTCATATTCCCCTCAATCCAAAAAATGTGACATTTCCTGTCTAATCCGTTATTATTTGTGCACCTTTTTCGTTTCCTTTGTTATGGACTTGATAACATTTTTTTGCGGCGTGTATAAATAATCGCGACACAACCTCGCATTGTGCCTCTTATCTCACTGACCGCGTTATCGCAATTTCGCAATTATTATCTTTGAAAATGTTGCGATTTTTTGTGGAGTCATTTCAAAGGTAAACTGCAGACTGATGTTTGACCGAATCGTCCAGTTCACCCGGAAGCGGCTCGCCTCCGAAGATTTTCCGCAGTTTGGATCCGTCGACACCAAGGAGAACTGCCATCAGCCCATTGGTTCGTCAAAAATCAAAAAACTTTCCAATTATTTCGCTAGGGAATTTTTTTCATGTGGTAGATCTAGTCTCTAGCCTATTGGAAAAGTCGCAAATTACTTTATTTGTTCATTTTTTAAGCTTCTTCCCACAAAAAATTGAATATTTTCTCGGATTTTCATCCCGAGTTCCATAACTATTTTTCATAGCATCTCAGTTTCTAGTAGACCCTTGTTAGTGAAAAATTATTTCAAAAAGTTGAAAAATTTTTTTCAAGAATTTTGTAGTAGTTCTAAAAAAATCAGTTATTTTTCAAAAATTTCAAAAAAACTTATTGACTGTAATAATGCCTTGAAAAATTGAAAGGCTAATGTATCTGAGTTGTAACGGAGAAGTTTCATTTTTTTAATAATTATTTTTTTCAATTATCTTTTCCATTTTGGTCAGCCGTTTTTCTAAGGGTTCCAAAGAATTTTTTTAGGGTTCAATTATTTGAGGTTTCTCGAAATGATGTCTCTTATGCCGTGTTCAAAGCAGTTTTGACAACTTCAAAATTGACGCGTTATCCGTTTAGATTAATTTAGCGAAATACGCAAAATCGGGATTTCGAGAGCCGTTAGAAAATTTGGATCCTTCAACTAGATTGCGAATTCAAAATTTTGGTTGAAAAATGCTCGAAAAGTTTCAAAATTTGGAGTTTCGCGCGTAAAAGTCGTTAACTCGTTGTGATGCCGATGTTTACACTGCACTCGAAATTCAAATTTTGTCCATTTCGCGAAATAATTTCGAAAGAATCGCCGAAATTACTTTGGACACGACATTAGACTTTCCGGGGGACAGTTTTCGCTTTTCTTAAGGGATGACTAGATACATATTTAAGTGGACCCTAAGGTGAACCTTTTTCTTTTCAAGTACCACTTTAAAAAGCATGAAGCTCCTTTATTCAATCCTTAAAGTACTGACTTGAATCAGCGGCGAATTTATTTTACTTCTGACTGAACCTTCAGTTTTTGATATTTTCATTTCAAGAGAAAAAAATGAAGACGACTCCGAAACAGAAAGTCTGCGCCAAGTGTTTGGCTGGCGACGGCGGCCACATCACTCACATTCTAACCGACGCCACCTAATTATTCCTTGAAAATCTCAAGAAGAACTCTCCCCCAATGTGTTCACTTGCACATTAAACATCAGTGCTTTCTACTTTTCTGCCCATTGATCTGTCCTATCTAAAGAATCCTATACCAAAAACCTCGCTTGTTGAAATGATCTTTCTGTTGTTAATTTCCTTCCTTCCGAGTTTGTTGTTATCTTTGTACTGGGTCTGTAGTATTGGTTGTTCGTTGACGTGTATATAGTTGCGATTTGTACGATGGTTTGCATTTGGAATAAAGTTCAGAATGATTTCGATTTTTCCAGTTTGAAAAATGAGAAAAAATGGCTATTGATTATCTGATAAGGAAGCCAAGTGAGAATTAAAAAAAATTGTGTTTTTAAAATATTTTTTTAAAGTTACTTTGAGTTGAAAAACTCTTCGAATTGTAACTTGATTGTAACAAACTCTGGGAAACAACTCTAGAATGGCCAGAGTGGTCCTTAGAGGGGTTAGGAGAAAAAAGCCCCTACAGGGAACAAAAAAATAGTCCCCTCAAGGGTTAAAAATTCAGGGGGTCTATATAGAATTTCAGGTTCAATCTCTAAGCTCCCTAAGTGGTCCCTATAGAGGAGGGAAAGTGGTCCCTTGAGGGATTAGGGAAAAAAGTCCCTATATGGGACAACATAGAGTTCTTTGAAGGGTCAAAAATAGGTGGTCCCTTTAGGAATTTAAGGCATGATTCCTGAAGCTTAAGTGGTCCCTATAGGGTTTTAATTTCTGTTTTTATTTGAAAAGTAAAAAAGACGTATGAAACTTGACCCATTATTCTTTTTTCCATGCGAAAAACGAGGAATCTTTGAATTTTTGTCATGAAAATGCGTTTTCAATGAGTTCATAAAACGACTAGCCCCTACAGTGTCCACTTTTGCAAGTTTAAGTGCCCCTACGGGGAAGGTAAGATGACCCTTAGAAGGAACCCTTCCAGTTTCCCGATACTTGCCCCTCTAGGGACCACTATGGCCTTCTGGAGAATATTTTTGACAGATTTCAAGTTCTTGGTCACTTTCAAATGGAAAATCAATACAAACTTTATTAAAGCTCGTTGCTCCTCCTTGTTATGATAAAGTCCAGAAACAGACAAATCAGTTAGTCGGCAGGACTGCAGCCATGCCGATCCGGGTGTTCTGCATGTCGTGGATCTGGCAGTACTGGCGCATCAGAGGCGGTCCCAACATCCAGGCCGGGTAGAAGCCGCCGGTGCTGAACGTGTAGAACGCCAGCAGGCAGGGTCCTGGTCCGGCCTGAAAAGTTATGAATAAATATGTCTTTTTCGAGGGGAACGCTATGGCTGAAGTAAGGTTTCCTTTGACAAGGGAAATCATTTTACTTTGGAGTTTCCTGAAAATTGGTCAGAACACTTCTTGACGTACCAGAAATGGATTCTGAAAGTCTCATTCTACACAACTTCCTAGTTCTCAAAGGGTCTAAAGTCCCAAAATAGCTCATTTTAAAGGCATAGGGGCAGTAAAAAACGGTGTTTCAGTTCAAAGCGGTTATTTATAGAGCTTTTGATTGCGAATCGAACGGTGAACTTGAAAACGTACAGAAGTTCCTAGTTTTGAAGAAAAAATTATTCAAAGTCGGAGAGAGGAAAGTTTGAGTTCCCGCGAAAAAGGGGGTTTTGCAGTAAAGTCGCTCTATGGACAACAGGCTCCGCCATTTTTTTCGGATTCTCGCTTTTTTCTTCGTTTCTTTCAATTTTCAATTTTTTCTGTTGTCACCAAAGTTCTTTTCGTCACAAAAGCTTTCGATTCATGTATAATTTGCAAACTTTGATCGCAAAAATGCTTCTTTAGTAAAAAATGATGATTTTACATCGGTTTCGATTGGGATAGCGATTATTTGTGTTTCCTTTATTATCGGTGTGTGTTTTTTGTTTGACTAAACGTTTTTTTCAGAAAATAAACCCTTAATTTGAAGCAGAGAGCCGGTTATTTCTCAGAAAATGCGAGTCTAATGAGACGTCCGCAACATCGCGTTCACGGCTACTGTAAACATTTGTCCGTAGGCCGATCCAAAGCTTTTTTCAAAAATAAAGGCGGGAAAGTAAAATCGCGTTTTTCTTCTAAAGTTGTCACATCTGTATTTTTTTGAGTACACCATTCGATTCGCAAAGAAAAACTATATAAGATACTGCTTTCACCTGAAACCCCATTTTTTACTGCCCCTATGCCTTTAATAGATTTTGAGCGTTTTCTTGCAGCTTCTTTTCTCGAAAACTAGGAAGTTCTACAACTTGAAGCCTTTGGAATCCTTTCTGGGTACTCTAAGGAGTGTTATAGGGAATATTGCGAAAGTTCCCAATCGCAAAGTAAAGTGACCTCCCTGGAAAATGGTCAAATTTTTGCTCTTTTCTGTCTGTTTTTCAAAGGTTTTGGTTTTTTTGAAAGGACCGTGAATCTCAGTAGGACAAAAAATAAAATCATCAACCCTCAAAAACTCGAAAATTCAAACTAATAATGGAATTAAGGAACGGCCTGCCCGCATGTCTGCTAAAATAGTGAAAAAAATTGCATTATGCTACCTTTTTGCTAATTTTATCAGTCTATTCTTTTTTTTTGCCTCTTTCTTAGCCTGTATTTTTTCTTTCCCATCTTTCAATAGCATTTGAAATTTTAGTAAAATTGAAATTTTTTGCAATCTGCCAACTAGCGTCAAAAACTTACAGTACCGTCAGAAAAGATACAAAAAAAAATGCTTTTTTGATCATAGCTTTCTTGTATGTAGTTTGATCTTTCTAGAACTTTTTGGAATTGTGATTACTGATATTTGTAACTATCTGGTGGTAGTTTTACACGCAGACAAAGCTATAGAGAGGTTCAAAAAGATTGATCTCCATACAAGAAAGGTATGAGCAAAAAATCTTTTCGTATCTTTTCTGACGGTACTGTAATTTTATTATCATCTCTGTGAAAAGCTGGAGTGGGTTCTATAGTGAGAGAAAAAAGCTCCTCTCCGGGAGAATGACCTTTTTTGAGCCCTCTATAGAACCCCCTAAATGGTCCTTAAAGGCCCACTACAGCTCATTTTTTAAAAAAAAAAGCCTCGAAAAATAGTCTGTAGATGACCAAACTGACCGAGACGATGTAGCTGGAGGCTGGAACTCTGTAGTCGACGCCGTTGATCGAGAAGACGATATCCGGAGACTGGGCGTTGCAGTCGATAAAGTAGGCGTCGTACTCCGGCATGTGGATCGCGCCGACTCTGGAAACAACTTATTTCACTCCGATTTCTGATGATTCTACAGAGGCCTTTTTCACCGATCAAATATAGTCAGTTCAGATTTTGAATGTCAGGTCGTCGCTCAAGCTCCGCCCCTAATGGCACGACAAACCAATCAGAGAGCGAGCCATTCACAGAGTGTTTTTGAATGACGTCATTGCATTTGACAGTAAAAATCGACCTTTCCCGTTGCAAAGTTGATTTTTAAACAGCATTTTCGCGCTTTTAAAGATTAATACGAATATGGAATCACGAATGAACAGCCTCGGACCTCGGTAAGAAATTCAGGACGCGCCCCGTATGTTTCTAAGCGATTCTAGGGATGACTTAAGGGTTTTGACGCTACTGAAGTGGTCATTAGAAATGCTCCGACACGTCCGGTCCGAGTCAAAAATAGTTAAAATTCGGCTCAAGACGTTACTTCAAAGTCTATCCGTATTTTTGGAGTTTATTCGCAGGTTTTCTTCATTTTCAGGAAAATAACGGAAAATCATCTTCCTATTCATTACATATGACCCCATAACCAATGAACAAGATCAAAACGGAAAGTCTCAACCAAAAATAACTCCTCACTGTCTGGCGATCTGGTCGACGAAAGATTTGGGGCCACCGATGAAGGTGGACGCCGTGTCAGAAGCGGCTTGCCAGCCGCTCGCCGGACCTGCCGAATAGCTTCCCACGGAGATTCTGAAGATCTTCTCATGTCAAGAAGAAACTTTGATATCCTACCCGCTGAGCTTGTACTGCCAGAAGGTGGCAGAGGTCAAGGGGATGTAGTTGACGTCGGAAGAGCAGTGAGCCGTATCCAAGCCGCCGACAGTGAAAGTGCCGCCGTTGGTGCTGGACGTCGGACCGATTCCGGCAAGGTAGACGACGAAGATTGGCTTAAATTCGGAATAACTAGTTTCTAGAGAACCGTCTGGTATTTATGAGCTGTTGTATTGAAATGAGAAAAGTCGAGCTCAAGGCGAGCTTGGGACGCAAAGAGGCGAGGCCAATGTCCTTCTGATCGTGTCAGGGCCCTTTTTTGAAGGCTCAAGCCAGCCGTGAATCAGCTACAACCACCCAATGAAGGCCACTCTCACCTGGTCGAGCTTGGACTGTCCAAGGAGGTTGAAAAGCGGCGGAGTGATGCTGTTGTAGGCCAAGGCGGGCCAGCCCAGGCCGATGATGCCGTCTTCGGGCTGGGACGTGAAGCCCTTGCCGAGGGACGTCGCCTGGCCGAAGATCTGGGCGGTCGCGCAAACCGTCGAGTCGGGGAACTGGAAAGAAAAAAGCTTGTCTTGAGGTTTGGAAAAAGCAGGATTTTCAAGTGATAAGCTGTTAGAATCAGAAATTTTCTTGCCAAAAGTTTTTTTTGGTCATTGCTTTTATTTTGATTTGGTAATTCTAAGAAGCTAGAAATTGCAATTTTAAAGCGATTTTAAGCGTCACAAGTCAAAAAGAGGTCTAATGTAACATGTAAAAAAATATATTTTTTTCCGAAATTATGGAGTCCTAGAGTACACGACGATTTTCATTAAAACTTCACCGGCCACCAAAAACTTCCAGAGGCTCTTCTGTCTGTTGAAAAAGTCAAAAACGGTCGCAAAAAAGCCGCTAAAAAATACCATTTTGCGCCTCTTTCTAAGTCTCTGATTTTTGCCAGGTTTTTGAAGGCCTAAAAAATAAAAAGAGCAACAAAGCTGATCAAAAAAGGCTGATAAATAGGCGCAAAAATGGGTAGTAAAAAGGAACCTTTTTCATATTTTTTGAAGAAAGGTTGAAGAAACTTTTCAGCGTCCGCCCGACTTGTTTCATTTTTCAGTCAACCATTTATTTTGTTTTTAAGGCGGTTCAAAAGAACTTCCGAAGCGACACCGAACAACCAAACTAGAAGCCCAAAGTTGTAGTTGATCAAGTTGAAAGTTTCAGACCTCATTCTCAGAAACCTGAAGGGACTCACGCAGAAAGTGTCGCTGCCGAAGAAGCCCTTGACCTCGCCGGTCTGGTAGGTCATGTCCATGACGCCGGGAGCCTTCTGGTAGGAGCTGGAGACGGTCGAGTTGAAGCGGTGTTTCGAGGCGCAAGCGTTCGCGGCGGCTCTGAAACGGCTTTTTCAAAATTCAGTTGATGATCAAGTCAATCAGATGAAATTTCTTGATTTTTCATCGCGAGAACTATCTTGACTGAACACTAAATAAACTAGCGATTTTTAACCCCCGCCCCCCTCGGAAGCTGAAGCTGTAAAGTTTTTATTTCAAAAAAATGTTAGAGAATAATAAACTGCTCAAAAAAACGACAAGGTTCACTTTCTAAAAAAACAATTTTGATACGAAGATTTCATCCTCTCTTCATGAAAAATTTTTTTCTCAAATGAGTGAAAAAAATTTTAAAAGAATTTCAAAGTGACAAAAACTCAAAAAAACGTTATCTTCCCCATAAATTCATTAAACTCACGCCGACTCTCCACTCTCCAGAGACTGAGTACAGCAACTCGGCTGACAGAAAGTGATACACGAGTCATACGGTACCTGTAGCTCTACCGTAACCCAATGCATTTTCTGAAGAACCTACAGATTTACAGTATGTTCCGCAACTGTTGTCACTGCCTCCGGCGCACGTCGCGTCGGGAATCCAAAGATTTGCCGAGCCAGAGTCCAGGAACACGACGAACTTCTGCGGAGGTGTTCCCAGCGTGATTTGGGCTGAAATTCAGAGGAATCGAAGTCTCATATTCTTTTATCAAATTCACTCAACTTCCATACTACGAGACCTAAAACGCTCATCAAAGTCAATAATAGGGCTTAAGAAAAGTTTTGAAACCTTGAAGTTGTGTTGAAATTGAAATCTTTGCTGAAGGTTTTCAACAAAACTGTGAAAATTTTTAGGGGCCACTATAGGGTTTTGACGTTTTAGTGGCCACTGTGGTAGTCAATTTAGTGGCCACTTAAGGGGTTAAAGATTAGTGACCACTATAGAGGTCTAAGTGCTATTATTAGACCATAAAAACCTTTTAGTAGCCACTTTAGGGCTCAGTGGATCGATATAACTGGTCCAATTTGTTTGTTTTAAAATTGTCAGACTGGAAGGAATACTGGATGGAAAACTACTGAAGTGGCCACTAAAAAGAAAAAGGAAACCTCTATAGCGGCCGGAAAAAAGTGAACACTAAATTGCCCCCCCCTCTAGGATCCCTTAAACTGCAAACCCCTCCAGGGACTTCTCAGAAATCATAAGGCGGGTAACTGTTTCAAGCGTTTATATAAGCCATAAAAACCCTAAGAATATTCAAAAACTCTACAAGGACTGTAGAGAAGAATTTTCCGAGACTTTTAGGCCTCTTTTAAGTATTTTTTTAAATTTTCAATATCAACTTCTTTCTTAACCATTTTCAAAAAACTACTTCCCAAGTGAAAGATTGTAAAACAAACTCATGTAGGCCATGTCCTCGTAGTCGATGATCGGAGTACTGGAAGCTTGGAGACTTTGTCTCTGCAAGTCTCGGGCTTTCACGTGCTCGGCAAGCTTTCCTTCCGCCAAAAGTCTCATCTTCAAGTTTGGTCGGTACCTAAATTAATCAAATTATATATGTTGTAAGGTCACTTTTTAAACTAAAAAAAAATTCATAAAATAAGCAAACTTTTCTGTTTCCCATTTCATTCATAAATCAACTTCCTAATGTTGTTCGATGAGTTTATGGGATGATCAATAATATATGGCTCAAAATATATTTTTCAATTGCCTCAGGGCTCGCTAGAGGGTTTAAGAAAAGACAGGTCCCTAAAAGTTAAACTTTAGGTAGGACCTATAGGGTATAAGGTCTGACACCAAAGCCCCTGAAGCTTAAGTGGCCTCTATAATGGAATTTTAAATTTTTTTTGTTATGATTCGAAAGAAAAAGGTTTCAAAACGTGTATAGGGATCACTATCGCTTCCCTAGATGGCCACTTTTGAAATCTTCCGTGCCCTCCTTAAGGGACGGTGAAGTGGTCCCTAGAGGGATCGATCAAAGGCCACTATAGGGACCACTATAGCGCTACAAAGTTACTTGGTTAGACGATTTTTTTTCAGAAAAATAGAAAAAGAGACGCTTTTGAATGATTTACACGTGGATATGTGTCATATGGGACATCCAAAAACTCATAAAATCTTACCCGATGGGCATTTGGAAGACTTCCGAGGCGACCAGGCCCACCAAACAAAGAAAAGCGACCAGCTTCATGTTTTTACCTGGAAAAACCTTAAATATATGAGATTCCGAAGAAAATTTCTGTGGAGAAAGCCTCATTATATGAGGAAAAAATCTAGATAATAAAAGAAAAAAACTGGACACGAGCCTCGAATGGCCCGGAGGCCATTATATCGGCGGCATTGTCTGAATTCAGGTGATAAGGAATGGCGAATGTTGTGATGCAACTTGATCAAATTCGCTGATAACCTCCGGTTCTCGTTCAGACTTTGCACGCAAACCACAACTTTCCGTCCGCTGGTTTCTGTATATTTACCAACAATCCTTGGAAGGTTACTGATAAAACCGGTTCTTATCAAAATTTCAATGACATAAAATGATGCGCTTGTGATTTTTGTTCGGCTTGAATTTTGGTTACTGTAAGAAAACTGCTTGTAAGTTACTTAGGAGCATTAGAATGGCCCCTAGAGAGGCTAGGAAAAAAAGAACAGCCCCTGGCGGGCTAAAATTTAGGTGGTCCCCCCATAGAGAAACACAGCCTGACTTCTTAGCCCCTTGAAGCTTAAGTGGCCCCTATAGAGCTCATTAATTTTCCTTTGTCTCTCTGATTTGGAAGACAAAAAGAAGTAGACAAGTTCAAATTACGTTAATTCATTGAGTTTTTCGCAATTGAAAACTTTAGTGGCCCCTAAAGGGAGACGGAAAGGGGTCCCTAAAGGGTAATCTTCAAAAGTCCCCTGAGATAGCCCCTCTAGGGACTATTAAATTCCTAAAACCTCTGAAAACTTTGTTTTTTTTTCTAGAGGTTTCAAGCTTTTCAGCATCGAGCCCAGTTCGACTATTCTAAAATCTTTTCAAGACTTTCAAAATTTCAAAGTGGTCGATCTTTTCGATTTTGAGGGTCCGAAAAATTTTTCACAGACTTCTACGGCAGTTTTTGAGCTCAAATAAAAAACCTACTCCTAAAATTAGTTCTGGTTTTTTTCTCATTAGAAGTCTGAACCACCGTAAAGTCTTATCTTTTCCCCAACTAAAAAGAATTCTATATGTGGATTCAAATCAAAAAATTTTTTCCTTGCTCGAAAATGCCTAAAAAACTTGTTTCATTTCTCGAATTAGGGTCAGATTAGTATCGAAATAAATAACAGATCATACTGGAATGAGAAAAGATAGGAAAAACACGTATTGGAGAATTGCTTTTGGTTGGGTTTAGAATCCAGTTGAGATCGTGCTGAATGTCGTAGTTGACGTGGCTGGAAATATCAAATCTTCTTTGATACATTTTGGGATAAACTTATTGTCGCGGGTTGGAGGAACTGTGGGAGGACCAGATTCTGTTGTTGAATTGGGTGTTGAGCGATCGGATGAAGGATTGGATGAGCAAAAGATTGAGGAATGGGCTGGATTAGAGGTAGAGCTGAAGGTTGGACTGCCGTCTGACTTTCCTGCTTCTTCTTTTTCAGCTTTTCGATCTGAAATTTCAAAGTTTGGCTGAGGTTGACCTAGGAGAGCATTCAAAAACGTGTCCAAAATGAGGTGAAGGCTTAAAAACCTTTCTAATACGAGAAAAAATTCAAAAACCTGTCGAGAAAATGAGGAAAAAGCTCAAAACCTATCCAAAACGAGGTACCGGCTTCAAAACCTTTCTAAAATGCGGAAAAAAGCTCGGAAACCCGTTGAAAATGAGGCAAATGGTCAAATACCAATCTGAAATGCGGGAAAAGCTCAAAAACTTATTCTATCTATGAATTTAGGTAAGAAACGTTTCCTAAAGTGTCTCAAATTAGGTTCTTCTAAAAAAAAACGAAGGAAAGTCCAAAAAAGCCGATAAAAATCAGTTCTTGAGCTTCTCCTGTACATTTTCGATAAGCTAGCTATGAAATCAAGATTTCGGATTTTTGATTAGTTGATTGGGAGCCAGAAAAAAGCTATCAATTATGAAAACTTCCAGAAACCGGAATATACCTCAGCAATCAATTTTTTGAAGGAGATTTACAACTGAAACCATCAGCCCTAATATGACGTTTCTTATTTTACTTTTTCGAAAAAAATTGAGCATATTTTTGAATCGGGACCTCTTCCAACAGCTTCTGATTCTTCTCCTCGATGCTCTGCAGCTCCGTCGTGAGCGTGTCTCTTTCCTGTTGCTTGTCCTCGATCGTTTCGATGGCCCGCTTCAAAATCACGGCTCGAGAAGCCTGAAAACGTAGAAATCCTTATACGTATAAACGTATGAATCCGAAATAAAACAAAAAACGTTCGGCTACGAAGCTTCAGTCTTAAATCCGAAAGTAAACACCCCGAAATCTGAATAGTGAGAGTGAAAAATTTCGAATTGAGAATGGCTAGAAATTTTTCTTTTTTTTATCTTTCCAACCCAAAAAGGCTTTTTTTCAGATTCTTTCAAATATTTTCTAGTCGTTTCAACTCTTTTTTATCTGTTCAAAAAAAACTTTTCCCACAAAAAAAGTTTTGAAAAGGACCTAAAAAGTTATTAAGTACGTCTCAGTTAAGAATATTTTCTTTGGATGTAATTTGGACTAGGTTCAGTCTATCCTCGATTCTAATCGATGAGGAACGAACTCTTGCTCCGCACAACAATAATATTGTAGATCCAACCAAATTCTGCATTTTTTTTTTCGTACAAAATCACCGGTTCTTCTGTTTCAAATTTTCAACACCTACGTAAGACCTATTTTGGAATATTTTTCTTAAGTTTCCAAGCCACCTCTTAACTCTGTCCTTTGCTACAAGCTTGAATCCTCACTCTGAATTTTTTAACGTAAAACTTTCATTAGGTCGAACCTATCTTTTGATACCTATTCAGATCGTCTAGAGCAATTTCAGCAAACCCCGCTTTACATTAGACGAGTTATTTCTGATCTCCTCACTCTTCACAAGATTGTCTCTGGTCATGATCACTTTCCTCAATTCGAAAATTTTGCCCTTAGATCCAATTTAAGGCGAAGTCCACTTCCTACGTTCTCAAGGCCAGTTTTCTAACAACTTTTTCTTCATAACAATTCCTATTTGGAATAAACTTACATCCAACTATCAGTTCACCCTTACCCTAACTCTTTAAAAAACTACTGGTCGATTTACCTCGCAACGAATTTTTTACCTCTATATATTTCGTTGGGATTCTTACTCACCTGTGAATAAATTATTTTTTGAGCTCGATGCAATGATTAATGAGTTCTGAAAAATCGATTCGTTTTCATAATCTAGACTTGAAACAGCCAACTGACGTTCAAGTGCCAAGCGATGCGTTTTCGGCGGCAATTCGAAATTTTTCTCAGGAAATTCAAGAAATTCATAACTTACTTCAAATAAATGTCATGAAACTTGTTTTTCTTTTTTCCTAGTGCAAAAATGAAGATAATTCCCTTAAAAAAAATCCCTGAAACGAATAATTTATTTTTGGATTGGCACCAAAACGCATCGCAAGCGCTTCGCACAAAAACTGCAAATGCCGCGCAGTTTCAAGCCGAGAAAAATGGATACTTGAGACTCAGGGCCTGTCAGCGCTCTCCACCAACCAGGCGCTATCTCTTTTTATCGTGTCAGGACCCTGATCGATGGCTTAAGCCAGCCGCGAAACAGCTCCGGTCCTCACCCGTTCATTGTTCATTTCGGGCACGGCGTCCCTCAAAGACGTGTACATATCCTTGATATTGTCGCGTCGTCTCCGTTCCAGGGCGTTGTGTTGTGCCCGGGCGTGCCTTTTCGCGTCCTCGCCCAACGCCGTCGAACCGCTCATCTCGTCCTGGATCAAAGAGAAATGTATTTGAAACAAGTCGAAGAAGGTTCTTGATGATTATTTTTCAAAAAGTTTTGAGTTTCTTGGTTGTGACATAGCGTCTTTTCTGAAACTCGTGCTGATGTTTTAATACATCTGCTGGATCCCGCCACATCCTTTTGCGCGAAAAAAAATTTGAAAATGTACAGACCATGGAATGGTCTCAACTCACAGTGGGACTTCTGAATGAGACTACGTTTTCTAGATATAGTTTTTCATGCTGAATCCAAATCCGGTCTCAGAAGCTACCATATAGGTCTGTGAAAAAAGTTATGGACCCTCAAAAATCGAAAATTTCCCAGTCTCCGATTATGAGATCGGCCGCACTTTTTGGAAGGGGGGGAGACCGCACCCTGGGGTGAGATCCAGCCGACGTATAAACGTTTCCCAAAAATCATAGAGAAAAAAAAATGGATATTTATATTGAAATAAACCCAATGGTGGAAAAGCTAGAAACTGATGAAAAATTTTTCCAAGTACTTTGAGTATTTCAGCAACAGAAAAAAAAGCTGAAAGTCCAGAAGGACTTAAAAAAGATCTTTAAAAGCCTCAAAGGCTCTTTATTTATTGACTTTTCTCAATGAAGGTAATTCTTAGGAAAAAAAGAAGGAAAAGAAAAAACGGTGAAAAAAGGAGATTCAAACTTTTGATACCTTTTGGGAACTCAAAAAGAACTCCAGACTCTTTTTTTTCGAGGCCTTTCGGACTTTTCCCCTGAAGTTGTATTCAAATACATTTTTGAAGGTATTATAAGAACGTGGAAAATTATATAAAAGAAGAAGGCGAAAAAAAATTTTTTTTCGAGCTGGTGAACTACACCAACGAATATTTTAACTTTTTCGAATTTTCGAAAACTATAAAAATCATTAAGCCTAAAAGAATCAAGAAAAACTCACAATAAATCTCGCAATATTGAACATTTCGAAACGGACAAAAAACACGACGAGACGTCTCAAACGATGAAAGAAATGGGTCCAAAGTCTCTACAGAACGTTCCCTCAGAAAAAAAAAACCATGAGAAAAACGCGCAGACAAAGGTTTTTCTTTTCGAATGTGTGAAATTTCCATGTCAACGTTTCTGAGACTTACGAAATAACTTTTGATCATTTTAACTTCGGGAAAAGACTTACATCAACGTCACTCTCGTCGCTCATGATTCCTGAAAAAAAATTCGAAAATTTGCAAAGTTCTTCTTTCACAAATAATCATGGATAAGCTTCCGAATAGTAGAAAGTCTCACGAAATTAGAAAAATTCATTAAACACGAAAAAAATTGACAAGTGAAATTGTGGCCTGGCCAATATTATCACAGAAAAATCGTACAAGTATTAATTAAAAGGTTAAGTTATTATTTTTCTTTTTCGATTTCATTAGACACTTTAAGTGGACGGAGAACTAAAAACACGGTGAAGGAGGTAAAAAGAGACAAGAATTCGAGGGGCAACTGCCAGATCTCGAAAAGGAAACTTAAAGCCAAAAGGAGGAATAATGAGATGGAAACTGTATTGGGGACTCGTCTGGAAGATAAGTTGAAAGAGAGATCTTTGGTCAGGAGATAAATTAGAATATAGGCACAGGTGAGGACGAAAAATAAGGGTCTATAATAGGCGAAAGGATTGAAGCCGGCATAAAGGACGGCGGAAATGAGCGGGACCACGTTGAGAGCACAGAGAAGGAAGGCCCGGGCGTTAATTTTCTGAAAGTTGTACTGTAATTGAAAAGGTTATTGAACGCGGAAGGATAAACTGTAACATAAAAAATGAAAAATGTTATTTTTGAGCGCTTTTCAAAGGGAGAAGCCGAAAACTCTGAATTAAAAAACTGCGGAAAACTGAAAAAAAAGTGTCGCTTGAAAATTAAATATATCCAAGTGAGCCCAGTATTCAAAAAAGCTTCTGCCTATTTTTTTATTTTATCTAGAAAAGGAAGGCAGTGAACAAACCATATTATTATCATTTTGATTATCGAAAAATCCAACAGCGAGTCAAAAAATTATTGATAAAAAAGTAAAATATTTTTGAAAAATAAACCAAGCGTCCATCAATATTTTACGAATTTTCTCACAAAACTTATCAGATTATTTTAATCTTATTCAGAAATCGTAAGTTCAGAAGACTCTTAGGTCGAAAAAATGAACTCTAACTCGAATAAAAAGAAGAAAAAAGGGAACTATTAGCCTACAAAAAAAATAATTTTTATTGATCTTCAAGTCATTTTTTCTCTCAAACACTTCAAAAAATCACCCAAACTTCGTACTTACCCAAGAAAAAGCTAAAATGACGGCAACATGGAAAAATGGTCCATAAAAGGCGCCTAAAATCAGTCCAGCCGTGATGAAAAACGACGTTTTGAATCTCAACGATTTTCGCAGCAAACCGGGGGCAAATCTGAATAATTCTTGGTATTTTTTTGATTCCAGGACCATTTTCGACCTGTTGATAATATTCACAAGAAGGTGGGCCAAATTCCAGTACAGATACGTGATAACGAGGCCGACGACGGTTGGAGCGATTGGCGTGAGATTTGAATTAAAAATGACGAGAAGCATCAATGTCAAGGTTCTGAAAAGTATTTCGGATCATTGAAAAAGTTGCCGCTTTTAAAAATGAGCTTTAAACAGTGTGTTAAATTTGCTCCATTGCTAACTTAATTTTTTTCAAATTTTTATTTTTTGTTGCTGAATAAGTCGGTCTTTTTCTGAAGGTTTTTTTCATTGTCGCTTGTTTTCAAATCTCAAGAGCTTGATAATTTTATTCTCTTTGAGATTTTAACAGTTGAAAATTTTTTTCTTTAGAATATTTTTTTCTTTAGAATATGAAAAAGTTGTAAGTGTGATTTTTTTCAAAAAAACCAAAAATAAAAAAATATTATTGAACTTTCGAAAGCTCTCTTTTCCTTCATTTTTTTCTATTTTTTTCATATTTAAAAAAATTTTTTTCTCAAATTAAGGCAGACACCATTTTCCAATAAAATATTCCAATTGAAGGTCCAGAAGTAGCTATTAATATTGAGTATCAAATAATAGTAGCGCTGAAACTGTAAACCAACCTAATTTGCGATTTTTTTGTAACTTTGGATTTTTACAAAAGAAAGTTTCTAAAGATCACGATTTCGAAAGAATACGGCATTTTTCTGATTTCGACGTTCTAATTGCCTCTTTATTTCCCGAAATTTGCGTATTGAATTGACAAATCAAGTTTCAAAATCAGAAAAACTTCGAAAAAAGTGTTTTCTCTTAGTTTTTTTGCTCTTGGAATTTCTTTCAAAAGCTTTTTTTTCCCAAAACTGACCCATAAGTGAGAACCGACGTTCTTCTGAACAAATCAAGCTCAATAAGCTTCTCAATGACGGCAAATCGGAGCAAGAACATCATGAGACTGGTGAAGAGAAGGTGCTGATTCAAGAATGGGAACTGAGAAATGAGAAATTTAAAATCAGTTTTCAAAGGTTTCCGACCTCATACCACCTCCAGAGGAGAGCAAAAGGACTGGAGATCATTTCCAGTCGAAATTCGCAGTTATCCGGTCCGCTGACGATGATTCTCAGATCTTCGTCCTGCTTGACCTCGGCGCGGTAGATGAACACCGTGGCTTCTCCTTTCACGAGCTTTTTCTTGTGCAGAAGGTGGTTGGGGTGGAGAACGCTCACGAATTTGGCTGAAATCGACTGTTGGAAGGTGGAAGCTGAGATTTTTAGCAGAAAAATATACATTGAAGGAGGATAACTTCTGAGAATATGATGAAATGTAAAAAGAAAAAAAAATTCAAAAAAAAAGGACTCAAGTAATTTCACACAAATTGGTCGCACAGGGAATGGCTCAGAAAATTTTGCGATGAGATGAAAAATGATTTTTCTTTTTAAACTTTAAAAACTTGAAAATTACCCCAGTTTGACATAAAATCCGTTCTTTCACATAATCTCGACTTCTGATAAAATTATGTCACATCAGAAAAAGTCGAAATTGACGAATTCTCTCAGAAAAATAGTGTGAAATCCTTTTCCACTGATTTTGTACGGCTTCCAAACTACAGCAAACTTTTCACTCAGTCACTGACTGGATTGCTTACGATGCTTTTCCGCGTAAGTTGTTTCTGGTCGGTTGAAATATAAAGATGGCTCACGTTATGGAATATAATTTTCCTCAAACTTCCTGAAGCTTAAAAATTTTAAAGCCATTCTAACTGCGACCAAAAGCTTAAAAATTTAAAAATTTAAGAGCTTTTTCCCTAAATTCAGGTCTTCGACAACTTTTTCATAAATATATTTTCAGAGACGCGATTTATAGCCGATTCCCGGACAGCTTAGGACACTGAAAGGTGTGGGAACTGTCTGCGCTCTCAACAACCAAAAAGTCTCTCATTTTTACCGTGTCAGGACCCATTTTTCGACGGCTCAAGCCAGCCTTAACTCGGCTATACAGTAGTGGCCATAAATATATGCCTATTTGGTTTTTTGGCTATAACTTCCGTCTAAAAGATCAAAATTCACTGAAATTCTGATATGTTGTGCATGACGTCGTTTCACATGAATTTAAAAAATAGTTCAACCTTTCCTGGAGAAAAAATAATTTTCAAACTCACCACAGGAGCTTTTGACAGTGACATATACAATTGAAGCCGGCTCCGGATGGAAATGAAACTCGGCGAACTTTTTCTGTAACTTCAGTTATAAGGAAAGTTCAAAATACACAAAAAATTTATATATAGCCCGTTTTTCGCGACTGGAAACTGCTCTCTTTCTCTGCGCCCTTCTCGTCTCTCGACGACCCTTTCTTGTTGACGCGCTATTTTCGCGTTTCTCTGACCTCATCGGTGATGGAACAGAGAGACGCAGACACGCGAAAAGCCGCGGTGAATGGACTATAAAAAAAGACATTTTTTTCACCTCAATCAAAGTTGAAAGTTCGGTTCCAACATGCAAACGAGGCAGGTCATCGCGTCTGGTTCCGTTTCCAAACAAGGTTTCGATTCGATGGTGGGTCTTCAAATGAAAAAGATTGATCAAAAATGAGATTTCTTCAAACTTCTTCTCTGAAAAACTCATTGACAACTTCTCTTCCAGTCCTGTTTCGAGGAAAATTCGTATCCGCATAGTGAACGATAATACGGGAAGCGTGTCTGAAATTCACGATTTCGAGTTTTAAAACCTGGAGGAAGTTTTTTTTTTACAAATGAACACAAATAGGGGAGTCTTAGGAACTCCAGAGTGGTCCCTTAAGGGGCCATTGAAGCTTGCAAAACTAAAGAGGTTTCTTTTAGTAGTCCCTATAGGGAACATGATAGTCGATTATTGTTATGAACTTTATGTGAAGAAGAATTTCCATGCGAAAAAATCAATAAATCAACGTTAAGAAAATAAAAATGAAAATATAAACATAGATATTTTGAATAATTTTATCTGATAAGTTAACAAGGTGTTTTTTTTTCGTTGGTTTCGCACAATTAAAGAAAAACCCAAAAAAATGATGTCCTTTTTACCGCTAATAGTGATACTCAAAGCTCAAGTGGTCCCTAAAAGGGTCTTTGAAGGTTTTTTTTTTCATGATTCGAAATTTTTATAAAATTATAGAAAAGACCTTCAGACGCTTTCATATACGTTTATGTGTTAAAAGTGAAATTTAGAAAAATTAAAGCCGAAAACTTCAGTCAGAAATGTTTTTCTCCTATTTTAAGTTATCCATGAATCTTAATTTGAAAACTTGTCACGTTGTTTTTTACTTTCTGCTACAGTCCTACTTTCTCTTTACCTAACGAGCAAATTGCACCACAAGATGCAAAGATGATCCGTCCCAGTGTCTGGACATCCAGGGACCGCCCAAGCCGGTCGGTGATGAATCTGAAACAGGAATTAAAATCATCAACTGTTTTTAATGAACAAAATTATCATCTGCTATTTTTTTTTCTTTTTTCTTCTTATAATCTTTGATATTTTTGGATTATCCTGGAGTTTTTTTCACTTTAAAAATCAAATCAAGATTACTTCTGAAGTCTCCAGCAAGAATAATGTTATTTCATATTAAAAAAATTTTTTTTCGCCGAAAAAGTGAAACTGCTTTTTTTGAAAAAAATTGTAAGATGGCTGTAAAGTGCATTTTCCCTTCTTTTTCTCTCAAATTCACCCCATCCAAAGCGGCCAGCCGATCCGGTACTTGAATATCTTTCAGTCCAGAACTGTAGGAAGCGAAACCGATATGAGCCAATTTTCCGTCTTTTTCGGCGTCGTAAAACTTGTGGAAATCGTTGTAGAAGGTCCTGGTCATGTGGTCGACGTACATGGCTAAAATGCATCTTTTTTCTGATTTATTCCTGAAAAATAACAAACGAGGATCATTCAGAGGGGACGCTTTAGTGATGATGAGGTCGATCCAACTTGGATTGAAACGAGGATGATTCAGCATTGACATCGTTACGGCTCCTCCCAGAGAGTGAGCCAGGACGATTATCTGAAGCTTGGCTTCAATTTCGGAGTATGTTCATCGATTTCGGTTTTACGATATCATGATAAATTGGCAAGGAGGATTTCGGATCAAATCAAAACCACTAGGCATAGATTTTTAGCCTGATTCTGATCTCGAGAAACGTTTGAGAAAATCGAATGGTTTATCTATACTTTTCACCTTGTGGATGAATAAATTATTATTATTAATGGTTTTTTTCGTGACCAGGGAAACAAGAACTATGAACCCTCCAAAAATGAATTCAATCGAAAACACGATAGTTTTCGACTTTGAGAGTCCCTAACTTTTTTCACAGGCTTCGAGGGCAGTTTTTAAAACCAGATTTGAAACCAGCGTGAAAAACTCTCTCTGTGAACCTAGTCTCATTCAGAAGTCCCACTGTGAACTCAGAAAATTTCCTGGTTAGGGACTTCAGTGTGACCCTTATAGGGACAACCTTAGAAATCCTTGAAGTTACCCCTCTAGGGGCTACTTACCTCTTCAAAAAGGGTCACTGAAGGCGCGTAGGGGTCAGAACTCTAAAGGGTTAACTCTGGCGTTTCTGGTAGTTGAAAATTTTTGCGAAAAAATTATAATTCTAAGCAATCGCATAAACAAAATTATTCAGTTAGAAAGAACAATTTTCCGACTTATCTAGACATTTCTTTGTCCTCAAAATTTCTTCCGAAAAACTTCAATCAAAAATTTCATTAATCTCTAGTCAACCACATCCTCAAAGAGCGAGCCAGGACAACTATCTAATTTCGATTTTTTTTTTCGTTTCTTGCAAATTTTTTTTGTTAATCATAATCTTCAGGAAAACGATTTTTTGGAGTTTTTATTCGCTTTTTTCTAGACATTGCCATAAATATATCATAATCTCCTATAGAATTATTTTATTTTAATAGTTCGAAAAAAATTCTCCAGGCTCCCATCAGAATTTCAGCTAGTAGAAATTAGCGCTTGGAATCTCTATTTGAATTTTTTTCATTGAACTTTTTTTATTTGAAAGCTAGAAATCGTGGAAGCCAGTTTCAGGGCAATCATAAATTTGCGCTTGTCACAAATTTTTTTCATTTCATTTTTCTATGGCTTTCAAGAAATGAATCTTTTTCAAAAAAATCACTGTAAAAGCAAATTTTTTTTCAATCGTTCAATAATTCAAAAAAATTATCTTTGAAAAAAATTTCCGTTATTAATATAATTGTCATTTCAGTTCTAGAATAATACTTCTCGTTTTTTTTTTACCTTCCTCTCATCGCCCAACATTTCCCTGATTTTAATCACCGCGTCGATCGCATAATCTCGTTGAGCTTCGAGCAATCTTCCACTCGCGAAAGATAATTGCTGAAAACGGAATTTAAAAGTAATAATTTTCATTTTCAATCAAACATCGTCAAAATCCAGCGCGAAACATCGGAATTCGTAAGGTTTGTGCCGCATTTCAGTCTTGTTTTGAAGAATTGTCGCCATCGAACGGACCTGGAAAAACTCTTTTAAGAAAAAAAAAATTCAAAACTTTATTCCAATCGTCACAAATTGAAATATTCTGATCGTATTTAAAATGGCTCAACTTTTTCAGCTAGATTCAAGAATGGACTTCAAAGCTCCCTTACAAACCTGCGAGTGGTCCCTATAGGGGTTAAGGAAAAAAAAAAACAGTCCTTACTAAGGAAAAAAGTGGCACTCATAGGAGTGAAATTTAGGTGGCTTCTAGAGGGGTTTAGACTCCCATCTTCAAGCCTCTGAAGCTCAAGTGGTCCCTATATATATGTAGTCCTCTGGTGACGTCTTTCATTTGAAAAACATGCTCATTATTCGAGTTTTTCGCATTAAAATGCTTCTGTCAATAATCGGCTAGCATGTCTCCTATAGGGGCCACTTTTTCAGGCTTTAATGCCCCTATAAGGGAGGTATGACAGCGAATTTCAAGGGCTCTCAAATCACCCCCATAGGGACCTCTTTGAAGTTTCTAAGTCGAAATAAAATTTCAGCCAATCCCCAGACTTTTTTGATCCACGCCAAGTCACTCTGAGGTCCGTAGCTGCGCAAGCGCGATACTGTGAGCCATTCTCCATGCGACCAGGAGTTTCGAACCGTGGCAAAGTTTTAAAAAATAGAAACCTGTCTGGAAGATCCGCCGCTGCCTGGGATAAATAGTACAGGAACCATTTTTTTCGTTATTACGCTGAAAAACTCAGTTTATAAAAAAAAATTTGAATAAATGAAATTAATTTTTCTCTGCCAGTTTAAAGTTCTCGAAGAGATGGTCACAACTCATTTTGGATTCAAAAAAACTTCGATTTTTTTAACTGGACAAACTTGAAAAAAATTTGATCGAAAAAAATCCCTAAATCTGACCTTTTTTTCAAATATAAAGTAATATTAATCAATATGGAAAAAAAGTTTAAATTTGTCCTTCTCAAAAAAATTTTTCTGAAAGCATCCCAAGTTCTAGCAGAAAAAAACTGCTATGATATTTAAGGAAAAACTAAAAATTATCAAATTTCTTCAGCCTCGGAAGTCTGACGAAATTTTTTTTGGGAAAGATCGAAAAAAATTTTCATCAAAAAAATAAAATAATAAAAATCGACTTCATTATTGATAGGAAAAGGAATTACTGAAAAAAGTTGGTTGATTTGCAAATTGTCCAATATGAAATCAGTTGTTCCATGGGTTTGGAGATTTTTTTGAAACAGGAAAGTGTTTATCCCCTGGACTTTTTTTCAAATGCGACCAGGATTTTTTTTCAAAAATTTCTACGAGAAAAATGAATCTAATTGAAATGAAAAATTGAAAAAAACTTAAGAAATATTGATTTTAAAAACCTAGATATTCGAACAGAAAAACTAAGAAAAGGAACCTATTTTTTTCATCAATTTTTTTGTGCTACCACAAGAGCGATTTTCGTTTTTTTCGGAAAGTACTGTAGGTGAAAGTCCCATTTGGCATGTGCGTGTTTGCACGAAAGGCCTTCTTTTTCCGTTTTTACCGTTTTTAATTTTTTTTTTTTTCTTCAAATAGTTATTTTTTTATTTTTTTGTTATGATATGTCAGAAATGTACAGTTGATGTATTCCTATAGTTTTTCATCCATTTCGATAAAATTTTTGATCAAAATTTAAAAAAACGCGAAGAAATGACAACTAAGGATGTGCAAACACGCTAACTGCGGACTTCCACATACCGTACCCTCCGAAAAGAAAAACTCCCCCTTGTCCTTGCACCCAAATGTTCTAAACAGACCTTTTATTTTGATTTAGCCATCCTTCATTGTAGACGATTAGTGAATAACGGTAACCAACACTATTTGTCTCTTCCAAGGGAATTTCCTGCATCTTTCTTTGTTTCCTCCTTCCGAAAAGCAAGAAAAAACCATAAACTGCAAGATCCGCCACATGTAAGTCATGGCACAGTCGTTGGCCCCATGAAGCTTCACATGGAGTCCGAAAACCGCCAGGGCAATGAGGGCAGAGAAAAGGAAAAAGGCCCCTTGGGCTAATTTTTTGAACTGTCGCATCATTTTATATCGGTTTCGATCTCATCGGCTGAAAGAAATAGAGTGACGAATGATAATTTGATAACAGATCAGTGTGAACTGGTTAAAGAGTTCACTCGGATCTAAATTTAAGACAATGGAAAATGAGAAGTACTCGGAAAAACAAAACTTTAGTGGACACTTAAGAGTTCACTAAAACTTCTCTATATAAGCAACTATTTTGATTCTTAGTGGCCACTATAGGAGTTCTTTTTTTTTAATGGCTACTTGTTCGATTACCATAGTGGCCACTTAAACTTCAAAACCCTAAAGTGGCCACTAATAATTTTCACAGAAAGGTCAGAAGATTTTTTGTAAATTTCAAAATAAGCTATTCCATATAATTCTCGAAACTAGATACTTTTTATCAAAAGAAAAAAACTATTTTTTTCTTTGAAAAAAACGAGTAGAAAAGCAACTCCCTAACGCCTTAATGATGATAGAAAAAAATTAAAAAAATCAGCTAAATTTTTTTGAAAAAATTGGAAGCTAAATAAAGATAGTGAAAAAAATGACGCTTTACTTATAAAGGGAAAAAAATTTACTCCAATGAGGTCGTGTCTGTTGGAAAAAAACGGCTTGAAAAAGTGATTTTCATTATGTTTCTTGATGAAAAATTAATTTTCATAAATTTTTTTACGGTTGGGAATAAAACTGGAAAAAGACAAACAAAAAAATAAAAATGAAATCAAGATTTTTTTGGCATCAATTCAATAGAAATTTCAACAAAAACGCGATCCTTTCCTGAAAATATTTCTCAAAATACCCATCTTGGACCCAAATTAAAGGTCATTTCATTCAAGAAAAATACACAGATATGATGAAAAATCCAATTTTTATTTCAGCTCGAGGGCAATCACCCGCAAGACAGGAATCGCATGAAAGAGGGGACTTATTTTTAGACGGTCGTCGTGGCGGGACACAAAAATTGTCATTTAGTCAAGGAATTCGGCAAAAAATGGGCTCTCAGAGAAATTGCAACGCTAGGGAATAATTATTTGTACAGTAAAAACGGAATGGGAAAGTGGGAAATCGCTTTTATTTGAAGGTTAATGGGATAGTCTGTTCAAAGAGCATTTTTAAAGGAGCATGGGTCTTTAAAAAACAATATTTTTAGTGTTATTTCAGGTAAGGCCAAAAATTTGCACTTTCAAAAACTAAATGGCTTATTTTTGAACAGAACTACAGGTTATGATCCTTCAAATAAAAGGTTATCGCTTACAGTGGTTGAACCTAATTTTGAGCATATATTATTTCTATTGAAAGCTATAGTCTGTTCAGATTTTAAATGTCAAGTCCTCGCTCAAGCTCCGCCCCCTAATGGCGCGATAAACCAATCAGAGAGCGTTTTCGAATGACGTCATTCTACTTGAGATTTAAAATCTGAACGGACTATACAAATGAAACAGGTAAAAACAGACGAACCCAAAAAAAAAGAGTCTAGGTTCGAATCTTCTCAGCTAGAGAGTACTGGTAAGCAAGAAAAAGATTAGAGAAAAGGAAAAAGTCCACCCTCTCGTTTTCAAACGCTCTCTATAGCCCTTCCGCCGCGAATTGAAGTTTTGGCCTGTCTGCGTCTCTCTGCTCTCTCATCGGCGAGGTCAGAGGAATATGAAAAGAGAATTTCAAAATCGGAGTCTCCCCGTGAGACAAAGAGAGCGCAGAGAAGTCCGAAAAGGACTATAACTTGCAAAGATTCGAACGTAGACTCGGAAAAAAGGCACACGACGAAAATATTTCAGAGCCGAATATTGGAATTAATTTTACAGAACTGCTTGAATAATAATTCCCACTGGGAGGCGTAGAACGTGAGTATGCACGGGGGGCGCAACTAATCGAGTTGGGACAAATCGGATGAAAAGCGACGAGAATCGGAGGATAACTGGACGGGAAAGGATTTTTGAGTACTCCTGGTACGAGAAAAAAAAAGCGCGATTATTTTTCAGAGGACGTTGAATGTTACATGACCAAAAGAACAACTAGAGGAAGAAAATGACGGTTTTTCGATGTTTCAAGAGGATTTTCTTATGAATCCTGGGCAGCAACTGTCGCCAAGACGGCTTCGATGGTGGCGTCGACGCTGGATCGGATCTCCGAACTGCATGGATTCAATCCAACCAGCTCGTCGTCGTCGAAATACCTGAAAGTATGATTAATTTACATTTTTCGACATTTTACAAGGTCTCTTCGCATAGAACCTCATGAAACTCATTTTAGCAAATTAAAAAAAAAAAAGATTCTCGCCATGGTCAAAATATCTACAAATAAATATCCCCCATTAAAGTTATTAATTTTTAGTTCGATTTTTACTTTCAAGAAATAGTTCATGAGGTCCAAAAAAAATTTTTCTAAACAATTTTTTTTTGAAGATGAAAACCAACCGATCGATGAGAGCGTAGGCTCTGACGTGGATTTCGACGTGCTGACTTTCCGTAAGAAATTCGAGTTTTCTACGGCCCCCAAGTTGTTCTAATTTCGTCGCCACAGGATTTGTGTAGTCTGGAAAAATATTTATACACTTGAAAAAAGAATCATGAAAACTGATGTGACCGCGGAAGAATGAGGAAAATGAAAATGAATGAAAAATTGGACTTCGTTAAAAAAAAATCAAAACATAATGACGTCACTTTATGACATCATTTTTGAAACAACAAATACACGTGTTAAAAACACTTTTTCTCATTTATTTAGGAAGTGTTCAAAGTAATTTCTTCAAAGAGTCTAACAATTTTTTACAGCTCCATGGACTCTTTGAAGGTACCAAAATCGAACAAAATATAATTTTTTTATCGCCTGATCAAACTAAATTTTCGAGAAAGTTGAATGTATAGTTTCGACGTATTTTTTTCAGTTCTCAATTATTTTGGTCTTAACTTCAAATTAAAAAAATTGTACTTTCTTGTGAATTTTTAGAACTTTTTTTTCATCGTAAAAATTCGGAAGATTGATACTCAAAAAAAGCCTTAGAATCTGCCAAAAAAAGATTTATTTTTTTCCTACTGAGTCAACCTAAAAAAATTGAAAAAAATCCCCACTCAATTGAATATTTTTTTCAATTTTTCAAGTATTTTAGTGTTACTTTGAATTCAAGTTACTATGTTTCGTATATTTTAAAGTTTCCTTATTTCAAAAATTTGAAAGGCTTAATTTCCTTATAAAAAAATTTCAAATCAATTTGTCAGATAATCTCAAAAAAATAAAAAAATTACAGTTTCTGAAAGGGAATAAAAAAATCATAAAATATTCAAATTTTTCATTAACAATAGCATTTTTTGCGCATCCCTAAGAAAGATTTGGAAAAAAGACAAACCCGGAGCGAGATCCCGTTCGCCAAAGCTGAGAAGCTGATCGAGAGCGTCCAAAATCTTCAAAAAACGGTTAATTTTTGACAAAATTGAATATTCGAACCTCCAGAACCAAGGTCGGGTCCATGACAGTCAGTAAATCGGTGAAAGCCCTCAAGGCGCCACATTCCAAGACGGCCACCATGTGTTCAGCTTCCGTTGATGAACAACAATGGCACATCGTATAGGCCGCCTTCAGATTTACAAAATGAGAATTTGATTTTTTTTCTTTTTTTAGGTTTACCCACATTATGGGAATGTGGTCAACTAAAACCGTTTTAAAATTTTTTTTTTCAAGTTACAGTAACTTTTTCTCAAAATATACTTCGAAAAAAAAACAAATGAAAAAAAGTGGATTTTTTTTCGACGCAAAATTCTGATGAGAAAAAAGATTATAGAAAATAGTGTAGCCGCCTTCAGATGCCTCAGAAAAGTTTTGCGAAAAATTTCGAGACAACTTTTAAAAATTTTAATTCGGAGAAAAAAGTAGCACTTCTGTGGTTTTTTCGCTACCGTAACCCTAAAAAGGGGCGGAGCCAATGAAAATCCATTGTAAAATTTTCAGGACCTTATATAGTTATTGTGACCACAAAATGATTGAAAACACATCTTTTACGAAAAAAGCTTGAGATTTAAGTTTCAGACGTTTTCTTCCTGGAATATAAGAAAAGGGAAAAAATTTTCCGTGAGTCTCAGGAAAAAGTAGTCAAAATATTTTTTTTATACTTATCCAAAGGCTGAAAAAGATTATTTTATTACTTTATCAGCAAATTTTTTTCCAAGCAATCTTCTCCCCTCGTTTGAAATCAAAAAAATCTCGATTACGCTTCTTTTTGGTAAACTACTTTCCCTTTTCTCGAACCCCATACTTCATAAAAATCTCTAGCCAATCCTTTTCTGTCCATTTTCCTACTAACCTCCTTCCGAGTGTCAAAGTTGGAGAATTCCATAATTTTCGTGAGTTCGCTCAAAAATCCAGCCGAGATGATTTTCTGAAGAGAAAAAGTATTTTTGAAGCCGAAAACAACAGAAAAAACCCCAATCATGTGAACTTCCGAGGAGATATTGGACAAGATGAAGCAGACGTCGCGGGCCAAATATCGGACGAAGATCAGGGGCCGAAGGATTTCCAGAAGGCCGCAATCGACCATTTCTGGGAAAGTTGACTTTATGTCGTGTTTAAAGATTTCCATGCAATTTGGTCTCTGGCTCTCCAAAATTTAGTTATCTTTTTCAATCTCTGACGGCTTTTCGCGAAATCACTAAATTGAACACGGCATTACTTTTTCAAAGCAAGATTAAAAAAATGTTTTCGAATCGAAACACGATCACTGAGATATGAAATGCAGTTTTTTGTAATGCTGGAAATTTCGGTCGGTGCGGTCAGTTTTTTTTTATGATGCCTGTGTTTTCGAACTTTCAAATTTGGACAGGTTTTAGACATTATTAAAATTTCAACCGTTCAAAAAAATACATTCTTATTCAGAATATTTTCAAAAAAACCTGATTTTTTTGCAATCAGGTCATCTCAAAAAAATTCCTTTTTTTCTGAATTTTCATTTTTTTTCGTCAAAAAAATGCGCTCTAAATCAATTTAACTTTTTATTTTTAGTTTGCACATAATAAATTCATTGTCAAGTCGAAAAGAGCTCGACCTATATTTTATCGAAAAAAACACAGAAATTCCTAATTTGTAACGCCAAAAATTCTTTTTTTGAAACTTTTAAAAATAATCACAATCAAAAAAATTCTACGCATTTTTGAACAATTTTGAGCTAAAAAAATTTCAAATTTTTCTCAAAAAGTACAAGAAAAAAAGGCCGACCTTTCCAGCATGTCAATTCTCTAATTCTAAAAATTTATCATTTTAAACTTTCAAAACGAACCGGGGAATAGAATACAATTAAAATCATTTTTAAAAATCGCTAAATTTTTGATCGAAAATTAAAAAAACCTATCCACAAAAACCAGCTGATCTATTCAAAAAAGAAACCTTCGGTAAAAAGCCGACGTGCTTTGAGTTATGAAATCGATGGCCCTCAAAAACGCTGGGACGAGCGATCGAAACTCCCGAAGATAAAGAATTGACCAGTAGGGGGCAAGATTTTACTCGATTGCATCTCCTTCAAAATAGAAGTTCCTTCAAAAAAAGATTAAAAAAATGGTTTCTTTTAAAAAATATCAAACCTCTACTGGCAAAAAAATATTTGAAAATGAATTATTAAAAAAACTCGCGAATTTTTCACAATTAGTGTTCAAAACAAAAAAATTTCAAGCTTAATTGCGAGATTTGATAAATTTTTTTGTCGTAAATAAACCCTTATCCTTGTTTTTTTTGTTAAGTTATTTTTTTTCGAATTTTTGAAAAATAAATTCATCTGACTGGATTTAAAAAAATCATTCGAAAAAAACTGAACATTAATGGAAAAAAATGAAGTTGATCGATAATCTCACTGAAAAATTTAGCTTTCTGTCAAATAATAAATCTGTAAAACATCTTTATCTGAACTATAATCTATAAGGAATAAATTTATCGACAACAATTAAACAAACCGGCCAGATATCCTGCCATTCGGCCATCAAGGCGCAGGCTCTGATCGCGTCGCACTGAATCACTTCGTCGCTGCTTTTCATCCCGTCCGAGACGATTTCCAGGAGAGGAGCCACCTAAGCAATATATTGGAAACTTGATAATTCAATTTAAAACCGGTATTGAATAATATTGGTTTGAGCAAAAAAAGCTCCTCGAAAAGTTATTTGAAAAAAGGGCTTTCAAGGGTCCTTTTTATTATTTTTTTTTCGTACCCTGAAAAGATTCTGGGAAGAAACTTCAAATGTACCTCCTCAACACACGGACTGTAGTCGTAGAGTCGGTGGAAAAGCTGAGAAACGAGCCACATGACGCATCTCGACAAGCGGACGTCGCTAAATTCATCCCATTTTCCAAAATTAGTGCTGAAGAGGGATTTTGACTGTTATAATCCATTTTTCTTTGCTTGCAACGGCTCTGGCATTTACAGTACATGTTCAAAGCGGTCGCGATGCAAATTCAAAAATTACCCCCTAAATAAAACTGTTTTATGGAAATTATATGCATTTATCCACTATAAAAAAAGCATCTATTTTGAAAAAGATGTAAATAATTAATTTTTGAGGAAACTTTAAAAAATCAGAAAAATGTCAAAAAGCTTCGCAAACGCTTTGAAAATGAACTGTAGCCGTCCGCTTGAAGCCAATAAAAAAATCTTGATCAAATCTTAAAAAAAGAAAAAGAAGAAAAATCATCTTTTTTTCCTTTATGCAGAATATAACGAGAAAGTATCAGAAAAAAATCTTTTTTTAAACTAATTTCAAAGGAACAATTTGTAATATACCTTCTTTAGGCTGTCTATTAAAAAAAAAAAAATTAATATCTATGAAATCTCTTTGAAACAGGAATGTACAACAGCTTCAACCATAGAAATAAATAAACTTCAATTTTTTCTCCAAAATTATCCTTAAATCCACCATTGAATATTCTCCTCAATAAACTCCCTTACATATCGAAAAATAGGAAAAGAAAAAAAAGCTATCAAAGGCAAAAATTACTTGAGGAAATTTGAACAGCTCAAACTAAAATAAAATCAACTTGCTCTTTTCAAATACTCATAATGTTGCAAATGGTACACAAGAAAATGAAAAACAAGATCAAACTACAAACTTTTTCTCGTAGGCATTGAGCAAACAGGGGACGATGGCCATATCAAAGGCGACATTTCGAAACGCCGCGTTCACTCCGACGAACACTGATATCGATTGTAGCATGTCGCAGACGATATTCGTCGATTCCTCGTGTTGGCTGAAGCATTTTTGATAATAATGCTGTTTTCAAAATGATTTCTCGAAATTTAAAATAGTCGTCACACGCATGTTCAAGGCGGCCGGTAGTATTACGGAAATTTCCTGGCTCCGAAACGGACAGCGCAATATTGACCGGCCACCGGCCGCAGTAACACTGTCTTAAACATGCGTGGTCAGAAAACGAAAAAAGTAACTAAATTTTGAATTTCGCAGAAATCACTTCTAAATGGAATAAAGGAAAAATTCAAAAAATGAAACAACATAGGCAAATACAGAAATCTTGTCCAGGTTCAACGTGGATCAGAAAAAAGACCAGTATTACAAAAAAAAAAAACGTTTTTTTTTAAACAGTTCAACTTGTGATTTCAGTTAAGCTTTTTTTTGAGCTATTAAAAACAAATTATCCCCATTTATAAACTGAAATTATTTTCTTCTTGTTGATGATCCTATCACTAAGAATAACTGACGAGATAAACGCGAGCTCGGTGGCGGTACATTGACTAACTCGCAAAAATGTCGCTTTTTTCTAGGCGCGATCCCGCATTTCTCTCGGCGCGACCTCGCATTTTTCTCGGCGCCATCTCGCATTTATCTTGCATTTCGGAAATTTTCAAATTGCGAGAGAAATGCGAGCTCGCGCCTAGAAAAATGCGAGCTCGCGCCCAGACTAATGCGAAACCGGCGCGAGAAAAAAAGCGAGATGTTTGCGAGCTCGTCAATGCACCGCCAGTGTCTCGCGTTTATCTCGGCAGTTATTCTTAGTGATACCTCGTAAATGTCCATGAAAAGGCGCAAAAAAAACATTTGAACAGCTAATTTCCTTTTTTTTCGAATCGAAATGCGGTTTTTCTTTAGCCTTGACTTTCAGGCACCAAAATATCATCCCTTTTCGGAACTTCGCAGAAAAGATAAGAATCTGAAGTTCAAAAAATATTTTCACAGTCGTTTGAAAACAGGTTTTCTAAAAACCTTATTTTCTTGTGGAGGTGTAAAGGGGTGAAAAATTCAAGTTCAAAAAGCAAACTCATTATGACAGAAACTTGCTTTTCAAGTCCATTTCATTATTCCCTTACGTAGTGCATTTCAACTTAACTTCAAATTTTCGCTCATTTTTTTTCGAGTGAATAAAAAAAAAGAAACTTTGCTATACTTCATTTTTTTGGCCTAGAAAAAAATATTTTTTTCATGATGATAGTTTCCAAATTATAAGAGAATCATCGGAAATGCATTTAAAAAAAATGCCGAAAATTTCAAATTTGAAAGAATTCGTCACCGGAAGAACCGATGTTTATATCGATAAGCTTCAAAGCTAAGAACAGAAATCGGAAAAATAATTTACGAAAGGCCTGCGAAAAAAAGTTAATTTCTTAACGAAGAAGCCAACTTTGATAAGAAAAATAATATAAATAAAAAAATTAACTAGGAATGAATAAAAACAAAAAAATAGGGATACATTCTAAAAAAATCTTCTCACGAACCTCAAAATGAAGCACAAAGCCTTGACACAATCCGTTTCCTTCATCTTCGAATCCTGAGGAATTCGCGCAACTTGCAGGATTATACTCCGAATCGCCGATCGTAGCACTTCGTTTTGCCTTTATCGATAAATTTTTTAAAATACCTTTCGCGATAATATCTCTTACCTGTTACAATAGATCTCAGAGAGCATTGAGAAAACGCCATGAACTGACAGATCATCAACCGTTAATTTATCTTAAACAAAAAACATGTAATAAGTAGGTAAAACACAGACGCCATTATAGATAGCACTCCCAAAAGTCTCCTTTTGGCGCATTCCGCGTGCGTGCGCGCGCCAATTCAAATTTCGTCTCTTGGACTAGATTTACAGGCTTCCAGTATATGGTTCTTTTTTTGTATAATTTTTTTTCTTGCATAAAAAAACTTCCAATTAATTTTTACCCGGGTATCATATCTATGATAACTTGATATACGGGCAGAGTACCTGAAATTTTTTTGATTTCTACCGAGTAGCCTGGAAATGCTTCCCAGGTTTTTTTATTATTATTGTTTTTTTAGTCACTTCGGTTTTCTAATTTTTTTATTCATTCTGTTTTTCAGACTTCCTTTGAAATTTGTATAAGCTTTTACACGTTGTTCTCCATTCGCTCATGAGAAACGAAGAATGAATTTCCAGCAGCACATTTCCTTATCATGCGAGGAGCTTTGAAAAATCTTATCTCCGCTCAAAAACTTTTCCAAAAAAAAAAAACTTTTTTCACGGACCTGCGCGGCATTTTTTGAGAACAGATTTGGAAACAGCATGAAAAACTTCATTTAGTGAACTGGGTCTCATTCTGAAATCCAACTGCGACCAGACACCATTCCTTGGTCAGCTAGAGCTAAAATTTATGCTCGACGTCTCACGATGGACATATTATGGAATATTCAAGATTCATTTTAAGAGGTATATTTGTGGGCACATTATGGTACCTTTCCCATTTGCCTGTGCAAGTGAGTGAAGGCGAAAATTTGAATTGGCGCTAAAACAAGAAAAAACTTTCTTAAATAAAGTTAGATTCCCTAAATGAGTCAATATTAAATAAAAGAAAACTGGAAATGAATAAGTAAGAAAAATTATACAAAAAGAATTCTTTCTAGTGCCGTGTTCAAAGTAATTTCCGCGAAATGCAAAATGATCTCTGACTCTCCAAAATTTAGTGATCTTTTCCTTTCTCTAACGGGTATTTTGCATTTCGCGGAATCAAATTGAACACGGCATAGAACCATATACTGGAAGCCTGTAAATCTAGTCCAAGAGACGAAATTTGAATTGGCGCGCGCACGCACGCGGAATGCGCCAAGAGGAGACTTTTGGGAGTGCTATCTATAATGGCGTCTGGTAAAACACAAACCGCTGCGAAGCTTCTCACAAATGTAGTTAATCGAGTTTTCTTCACAATGGTAAGTTTCGCTTCGTAATTGCTGGAGTATATCAGCAGGAATTGCACTAACACTGCCGCTCTGTACAAACTTAATCATAAAAAAATAATCGAAAGGTTCGAAATACCTCGAAAACAAACTGGCTGATTTTTCTCCGATTCTCCAAGATTTCATGTCGTTTTTGCTTTCGGATTTGTACACCAATTTCACGACGCTTTTTCCTACACTCATCTAGATTGAGTCCTGAACAAGAATTCATAATAATCAACATAACAGTGAAGGAAAAATCAATTTACCCTTGGTTTTGTACATGTGCAAACGGCCAGCCGAAGTTCCTTCGCCGTCCATTTTGCCTTCAGACCTATTTCGGACGTACCTAGTAGTCGAGTCACGAGAAAAATAATGAGGAAACTGTGTTTCACGATGAACAGAAAAGATAGAACTTTTTTTTTGAAGCGCCGCGCCGTAAATCGCGTTCGCGTGCGATGGGGCGCATTTGTCGTTCACTACTAACGCCAGCTTTTTCGAAAAAATTTCTGTTTTTTCAATTTTCAAATCTTTTTGTGTTGTTTTCAAGATAGTGGCTCTCTTTTTTAGATGTCTCTTGCCACAAAACTTCGTCGCGTGCGCAAAAATCCTCCAGAGGGTTGGGCGACGATCGAACCGACTTTGGAACAATTTGAGGTAAATATTTATTTAAATTCGAGTTTTATTAGTAATTTCAGGCTAAGATGCGAGAAGCAGAGACAGAGCCGCACGAAGGAAAGAGAAAAACGGAAATTAACTGGCCAATTTTCAGGTTTACTTCGAAATTCGAAAATTTTTGATCATTGGTAAGGTTTGCAGAATTCATCACCAAAGGTCTCGATACCTTTACAATTTGTATTATAAGGAAGAAGCCATCTCACGGGAGCTGTACGAGTTTTGTTTACAGGTAAAAAAATTTGTGGTGAAGATGTAAATAGTTATAGAATTTCAGGCCAAGCTAGCTGACGCGAATTTGATCGCAAAGTGGAAAAAGCAGGGTTACGAGAATCTGTGCTGCCTTCGGTCAGTTTTGATTTTGATTTTTGGGGGGAGAATACTTAAAAAAAAACTTTTTAATATTTTGATAAGACCCTAGTCAATCTTTTCAAAGTTTCGTTACAAAGAAAAAAAATATATTGAAGTGTTGAATTTTTAGAAAAGGTGAGAAATAAATACAGGGTTTGTTTTAAGATTCCAAAGCGTTTTTAGGCTAACTATCTCTAATAAAAAATGATAGGCTTTTCAAAATTTTTGACGAAAATAGTTTCGGAACGATAAAATCAGAAGGTCAAGTCGTTACGCTCTTTTTTTCGCCTTTTCAACACCTCTCTCGGGTCTTTTTATAGGGACTCGTTTCTCTGAAATTTTCTCGAGTCCGTCGTTTATAATTTTTGAAAAAATGCCTCAAGGTCCGCAGGAAAGATGATCAGTAGCTGCTTATTTTTTCCTGCGTTTTTCTATAGATGCTTCAAGTTTGTTTCTTAAAAAAAGTCATTTGAATAATTTCGAGATTCAGAACGAATTTTTGTATGTGTAAAGGCACCGAAGCCTTGCAAGACCCGATAAATTGAAGAAAAATCTTTTTTTGCCAGAAATAAAAAAATTTTTGTATGCCTCTTCAAACATCCTAGTTGAAACAAGCAAAAGTTAATAAAAAAATTTTTCACGTAATAATCAGATTATTTTATATTTTAAAGTTTTTATCGCATGAAATTTGAAGTTAGTGAACTATTGGTATCAAAAAGTTCTATACAAAAATGTTTTTTTCAACACGCTCTATATAAATAGGATTTTGAAAATATCACTTTCTTGGTCAACAAAGGAGAAAAAAAGACAACTAAAAATGGATAAAAACTGTTGAATCAAGAGGATGAGTCATCGCACTCAAAGCTCTCAACGTTTTGTCTAAGTGATTCCATTTATTTCACCACGATATTTTCTCACTCAATGTTTCTTTTTTTTTCGCTTCTGATGAAAAGTAAGAAAACGCGAGACGGTCAGGTTTGAAAAAAATAGAAAAGAAAAAGCTACCGTAAATACAAACTTTTGTTCTAAAAAACGACAGAAAAAAAAACAAAGGTCTTGAAGCGAAGATTCTCAATTTTGATCTAATTTGAATTTCGGCATTTTTGGCGAAGAGAAAACGTGACAAACTGGCACGAAATAAGCTATAAAAATCTTTCAAAATTTGGTACCTTTTTTTCTATTTTTTGGGATATAATCATACTCCATGAGGTATCATCTGTAAAGTATACAGTTTACAATCGATAGTTCTCTTTTCTAGGGAATTAGAAGCGAAAATCGAAATAAAGAAAAATGAGAAAGTTTTAATCGAAGCGTTTAGTTGGTTGAAACGTTCAATTTATTTCTTGAATAATTGAAAAGTTGTGTAGGCCTTATCCAGTTTCACTTTTTGGGTTTTGGTCTTGATTTCGAGGTTAAATTATCATTTTTCGGTGATATTTTTGGAAGTTTTTGATTATTTTGTCAATGATTCGAAACTTTGAAAAACAATTTTAGCAAGAAAAAAATCAAGGTCGTCCTGCGCGTAGCTCTGATCACTGGGCTGAATTATAAAAAATCATGAACACTTTTAATATTTTCGCTTTTGAGTGCTCCTCAGTACGAAATCGGAATTCTTACAGTTGCATCCAATCACGAGATTCAAACTTCGGCACCAACTGCATTTGCCGAGTTCCGAAGAGCAAACTCGACGCGGCGAAAGTCATCGAATGCGTCCATTGCGGATGCCGCGGGTGCTCCGGATGAAAATCATATCTTTTTGTTCCTTGTTATTTCCCTTACTTCTGAATTTCCACCATCAATGTATATCCTGTGTTGACGCTGTTTTATTGTGTTATTATTTATTTATAATTTGAATAAAAGATCTCTCCGAAAGTCTTTTTGATTAAAAAGAATTCGGTAAACTTCCGTTATTTTTTTCTGGTTGGAGTTATTTTGAAAAAAAAAATAAGGCTTATCTTTTAAAAGTTTTTTTTGATTCTCAAGATCTTGTGGAGATTTTAAAAAAATTTACCCACGTTTTTTTCAGTAGCCCTGGAAAAGCCTAAACTCTTGAAAACCAAAAAAATTTCACAAAAAAACGATTTTTTTCGCTTTGAGACCTTTGTGAAATTCAGTCACAGAAAAAGATCTTTTGACAATCTGTTAGAACTCTCAAAATTTAATGAAAGTCGACTTTTTATGAAATTTAACCTCAAAAGCATAAATATTCTTCGCATTTCTCAAATTTCCAGGTTGAAAAATGTCGTTTCCTTTTGATTTATTACACGCGGAGATCATACGGATGTCAATAGAGGGCGAAAAAATTCGGATGGAAGCAAAGGAAAAGTGGGGAGAGGTAAAAATCATAAAATCAAGCAATTTTTCTTTTAAAAAAATCATTTTCAGATAGCTGAAGCTTGCGTGGATTCTTCAGAAGTCGAGCAATATACCGGCCTAATCCATAAGGCTTTCGCTCATGTAAGATGATTCTGGAATTCACGAAATAATAATATTTTTTTCATTACCAATCTCTTGAAAGAAAATCTTAAAACACTCCTATTAGTGACCAAAATTGGTTCATTCAAGTTTTCGAGACACTCCTGAGGTTTAGGGTCTGAATCTCAAGCCTTTAAAGCTTAACTAATGCCTGTAAGGGTCTTTCATTTTATATTCTGATTCGAAAGCCAAAAAGACCTATAGGGACCACTATCATGCTACCCTAGAGTGACCACCAAGTAAAAACCCTAGAGGGGCCACTCTTGCAAGCTATATTGCCCCTATAAAGGAGTTAAGGCGATCCTAAAGGGGAACCTTCGAGTGTCCCTAAAGTTGCCCCTATAGGGACCACTCTGGCGTAGTCTCAGTCCATCAAGACGAGTTTTCATATCTTTTCCACCTTGTCTCGAAAGTTTTTGGAGACTTTGTCACGATTATGTTTCGGTCCCTCGTCTTCTGAAAGCCTGATTCGAATTTGAGAAAGCTCCTATTAATATTTTTCAGGCCAATTCGGAAACCCAACTCGAAACGATTGGCTTTCGAGTTGGACAAGTTCTCGTCGAAAAAGTTTCCAAAGATTCGCCCAAATTGGTCACAGAATTGGAGGTCTTCGAACAAAAAAACGATTCTAATTTTATTTTCAGATAGTTAAATTCATTTGCAAAGAGTTCTGGTCAGCGGTTTTCGGGAAACAAGTTGACAATTTGAGGACCAATCATCAGGTTAAACTCTTTTTTTTTTGAAAGGAAAATGATTTTCGAATATTTTTCATAGAACCTCGAAAGTGTCAAGAAAACGTTCATTCCTCGTTTTTTTCGACTAGTTTTTTATTTCATTTTTTTAGTAGACTTTAGTAGAAAATATCGAACATTCATTTGGAAAATGTTAATAACTGGGCGTGTAACAGGATTGCACGGAAGTTCGTTTTTTCCGCGTCAAATAAGGCACAAAAAAAATTATCAGAAAATTTCTACTTTTTAAACAGCAAACTCATGTTAATTTAAAGCTTATTTTTTAGAAAAAAAAAATGGTACTTTTTCTGTTCCGACTTTTTTTTATTTCGCACCATAATTCGATTAATTAAACTTAATATACCATTTTCACCTAACACTTGGTTTTTCGAGCTTCAAAAAAATTCGTCAAAATAAACAAACGCCTTTTTTAAAACTATATTGAAAATTTATGACCTGGGCATATTTTCAAAGAAAAGTGTAATTACCCCATTATCACGGTATGCTGGAAAAGTCGGTCGGTCGGTTTGGAAAAAATAGGCCACGCCGCGATTTCGCTCCATGAAAAACTTCGAATTTCAAACTGTTTCTTTTCTTTTCTGAAATTTTCTTCCTTTTCAAATTTTACTAAGAAGGTTTACGCTTTTTTTTTTCAAACTTTCGGCGTGGCCTAGTTTTCCAAACCGACCGATCGACCGACTTTTGTTCCAGCATGCCAGTTATTACTTCTGTGTATAGCTGATTCACGGCTGGCTTGAGCCATCGGAAAAAGGGTCCTGACACGATAATGCACGAGATAGCGCAGACAGGACACGCCCTCTTAGCGTCCCAAGCTGGCCGTGAATCAGCTATAAACCTCTCGCCGTTATCCGGCCTCTTTTAATGGTCATTCTGTCCTTCTAAATGTCTTGTTTCAGGGCGTCTATGTGGTACAAGACAACAAGTTCACCACGTTGCGGTGTTTCCCCGAAGGAACACAATATGTGAAAAGTTCTGGACGATTTTTGGCCCTCCCTTGTGGGATTTTGCGTGGCGCTCTCGATAGTTTGAATATCCCTGTCAGTTTTGTTTTCGTGAAAGGAAAAAACCAGGAAAAAAGGGATATAATCTTTTGAAATAAATCTTTTTTCGGTGTAAAATTTTTCAGGCCTCTTCTTTACATGGTTTGCATTTTTGGCTGTTTTTTTGTTTTCAAACATTATTATTTTTTTCAAATCATCAATAAAAAAATATCTTATCTTTCAAAAATTTCGAATGATTAATTTTCAGGCGATTGTCACGGCGACCGTCGAATCGATACCGGCCGTCAAGTTTCAATTGCAAATCGCCGCCAAAGCATAAATGTAATTTTAAAAATCCAAAAAAATATATATAAAAATATTTATTGCCTCCGATTATGAAAAAACACGAAAATCGAATTTGTGCAAGCTCTAGACGTTTTTTTTTCGCAAAGTACAACTTCAATTGCGAATAGGCAGAACATTCAAAAGTTTATCACATTCATTATCCCTTAAAATGCGACGATTAGATTTGCTCTGTCGCGGGTTTTTTGAAGTATTCATCGGAACGACGAGTGAAGTCGATTATTGCAAAATGGTACAAGGCGTCGTCGCTGGTACAGTATTTTCGTCGGATGAGGAAAATTTTGTCCTAAAATTGAGTGAGATGATTGAAAGCTTTGACTTTTTTCGCATGGAAATGCTTCTTTTTGTAAGTTCCTAAGTAATGTAAAGTTGAATCTGTTTAAAGTTTCAGATCCACGTGAATTTGTTAGGGTTCACACTGATCGCTCAATAAAGATTATTGAAAAAATACAAAGCGTTTTGAAATGTTCAGTTTTCAGTTATTATGTTTCCTCACGTTTATGACACTTTTTTCTAACCAAAATTGGAATCGGTTCATGTAAAGGTTTGAAATTTACCGTCAGGGCAGTTCCGTTACTCTGGCACTTTGTTTGGAAGCCGGTACATACTGGAAATTTTTCAAGATTATCAATCAACTCTTACTAATTTTCTGGACTATTTTATAATTAAAATGACTTGCTCCTGTTTTTTTGCGAACGTAACGGAAGCAGAAGGACGTTACTTCTTTTCCCGACACATTTGTGATCCCATCTTCATAATAATAATAATTCTCCTGGAAAAAATATAAATAAATAAATTGAGATAACAATAAAAAAGAATATCATAGAAACTCATGAAAAAATAAACTAGCATCCTTGACGCGACATGATGTTTTGAATCATTGGAAAACTTGAAATAAGTTTTTTTTTTTTTCTCTTAATTTGTAAAATTTTGAGTTGGTTCTCCCAGCAAATGATCCAATACGAAGTACGAAGCGGAAATTTTTCAATGATGCATCATGATATAAAATTTTGAAAACTTGGTTTTCTAAGGGTTTTGGTTATTTTTACCGTTCCATTGATGACAACGACCGAGAGTAGGAGAAGAGGAAGAAAGTGAGAGATCATTTCAATCAAGAGAAATGAGTTCCTTGCTTCCTTCTCTATTTCCTGGGCTTTTAAACCAAACTCTACACAATGGTATTGTGATAGCCAGAAAAGCAGTTTCTTTTGAATTTATGATTTTCTTCAATCCTGAAAAGGAAATTGTTTGAAAGCCAAGAATAGCAATAAAGCAGAAAAAATGACGATAGAATTTTTTGATAGTGTATGAATTTTATCATGTTGAACTCAATAAGACACAATTATAGCAGAAATTGAACCTTTTCTCAAGAATTTCGATCTTTAAAACTAAAGAGGACACCTTCATAAAAATGAAAAGCTTTTGAGCTTCCAAGCTTTGTAAGAACTCTGAACTTACTAGAGGAAAGACCATTTTTTTTACTCAATTGAAACAGAATAATAATTATTTATTTCTTTGAAAAACACCTAAAATCAATCAACTATTTGCTGCCATGTTCGAGCTTATAAGCTTCGTAGCGTTGTGCGAATTCGGTTTTGGCGAACTTGCTGAGACCGGCGTCGCTGGCGCAGTTGTTCGGGAAGTAGAACATTTCGCCCTGAAAGATCAAATTGTTCATTTGTAACCAACTGAAACAAGGAGACGTATAAATTTAATTCACAATTATTCTCCATTTTTCAAAAAGCGAAAATTTCCTAGTAACAAGCTTCTTCATGAAATCGAACGAAAGTAATGTTAGAGACTCATGAATTTCAGAGTGGTCTTTATAGGGGTCAAGGGAAAAAGGTCTCTCCACTGGACAATGTAGTGCCTTTGGAGGAGGGCTTAAATTTAGGTGGGGTGGTCTTTATAGGAGTTTGTAGTCTAGCCCCTAAAGCTCAAGTCGTCTCTAAAGGGGTTTCAAAGGTTGAAAATACATGTAGGGATAGCATGATATCCCAGAGTGACCACTAACTAAAACCTCTATAGTGCCTACTTTCGGAAGCTTGAGTCTTTTTATGAAGTTCCCTAGGCAACTTTTCACAAGTTTTCAAGCTCCAGCTTGTCATATAAATTGAAGATCAGTAAAATTTTGAGAAAAAAGGGCTTGGGCCGATTTCTAGGCAGTTGTAAGAGATGACGGTAATATCTAGAGGCCGAATAAGTTTAAAAAAATTCTTTTGATGATTTTTTTTTAAATAAGAATTTACCGTCACAGCAGTGCTGAAGCTGTCTCCACAGATGACCTGGTAGCCCGAACAATCTGGAAAATTTTTCCTCATAGGCTTAAAAAAACCTTTTTAGGATTTTTTTCCAGCCTTTACAAAGACCATTCCGATATTTAAGCTAGCAAGTAAAAAGTAACTTGAAAAAAATTTACAAAAAAAAAAAAATATTTCCTCAACTTTTTTTCATAAATCACTTCTTGAATTTCTTCGGTAGTAGGTATAGCAGTTAAAAAAATATTTATAAGCAAGTTTTTAATTTTATTGGAATAATTATGAACACTCACTTCCATTCTCACGGGTATACTGGAAGCAGAAAGGCGGTGGCCCGATAGGAATACTCTTTTTGTGAACGTATTTCTGAACATTGAACTTTTTTCTGTTCATGAAATGGGTAGAGATCACAAGACTTTTTTTTCACAACTACTCAAAAAATCTGATTTTCAGGTCATTCGGTATAGAAAACTGTCGATTTCGAATGGACAAAATTAGAGATTTAATCGAAAAAATGATTCATCTGAAAAGTTCTGATAACCGCTTTGAAAAGCCTAATTTGTGTGCTTCAATAGCAATCAGAATTGGATTAAAAAAAACTTAATTAAATCTCGAAAAGCACATTTTTTGTATCAGAATTTTCTGCAAAACTGAAAAAAATCTGGAAATTTTTACTGTAGACCCAAAAATTCCATCATTTTTTTGTGTGGTGAGGCTGATTTTTCGACTTTTTTTTCTGATTTTTTGAGACTACTATTCTCTAATTCTTCAAAGCCACTAGAATTTCTAATCGGAAAATAATCTAGTCAATTTCCAAATGAAAAATTCTAAGAGTTCCAATCTATCTTACCGTTCCATTGACCATGGCGACCAGAAATAGGAGAAAATGAAAAAGACGAAAAAAAGTCATTTCAACTTTCCAGTGGAAATGATTTTTCTTCAAATTTTCTTCTTTTTTCTTGCTCTTTTATCCGGTTGATCTGTAGGCCAAAGAATGGTATCGTGAGAAATGTAACCAACCATGAAGTTTTTTTCTGCTTTCACTTGTAAATTTTCATTTTCTTCTGCAAAGAACCTGACCGTTTCGTTCGATTTTTCGGTCTTTTGGGTTCCGTTTTGCATTTTCAAAGAGTCATTTCAGCTATAACTTTATGAAAAAGTGAATAATTTCGATATCAAATTTAAAAAAAAGGTTAGAACCTTTTTCGATAAATTTAATGACCTTCGGGACATTCAATTGAATATAAGTTTCTTGGCACTTTCACTAACTTTTGTAGAACTTTCTTATTTCGAAAAAATGCTTAACCTCAAAGCTTTATATGAATAATCTCAATTTATAACACTTTTTCTAAAACTTCATGTGAAATAGAATGAAAAATCACTATTTATTCAAAGTGTTACTGCATTTTCTTACATAAAAATCAAAAAATTAGGTTTATCCTGTTTTGCTGCTAGCAGCCACACGCTGTTTGAAGTCGGCATTGGCGAAAGTCTCAAAGTCTTCGTTGCTGGCGCAGTTGTTCGGGAAGTTAAACTTTTCAGCCTGAGAAATGATTATAGGGTAACTATATGATTCATTGAAACTAGTGAGATTGTTAATTAATTGATTGAACTAGGCTTGATTGAATAATATGATATATATTTTTACAAGGAGGTCGTTTCATTTCGGCAAGAAGGCTTCTTGATTCACCAGAAAAAATTTAAGAAGTCTCAACCTGCATAGCTTCCTACTTTTCGACTAATAAGGGCTTAAATTGGCATATTTCGATAGTTTCTGAGGGTTTTCTTTGAATTCGCGACGTCTCTTTGTAAAAAATAGGAAGTTATACAGGTTGAGACTCTCAAGATCTTTATCGGGTTCATCGAGGAGTATTTCCAGCGTAACGACAAAGTAAATGACCTTCCTTGTAATCTTATAACTTTTCTTTTGAAGACAATCAATTCTGAAAAAACTTTCAATTGAATTAGGCTTACAAGAAACTCAAAACTCACCGTCAGAGGAGTTTCATCGCTGCCACACACTTTTTTTGGAAGCCGGAACAAACTGAAAAATTGTTTCATAAGCTCAGTTCAATTTTTTTAAGAATCTCTGTATTTCTGGGATTTCTTGGAATTAGATTTTTGGAAATTTTACTCTTCGGAACAGTACATGCCGCGTTCGAAGTAAATTCGTCTCAAAACTCATCTTTATCTCTGATTCTCCAAAGTTTAGTTATATTTTTTTATTCTCTGACGTCTTTTTTTGAATTTCGCGGAGTCACTTCGAAAACGGATTAGATCTCCTACTTGAAAAATTTGAAAATTTATAGAAAATTAGAAAGTTTTATGACTCACCTCCATTAATACGAGTGTAGTGGAAGCAGAAAGAGTTTTCTTCCAGGTCCGTGAAGTATGTTTCGGTAGAAACGTTGATCTGAAAAGATGAAATTACAGCGTAAAATGTAAGTGGCCACTTTAGTATCATCTTAAAATGGTCCGTGTAAAAGTCTAGTGGCCTCTCTAGTGTCCTTTCCAAGTAGTCCATGAGTGACCTCTGAAGTAGCCCCTAACGGTTTTCCTAGTAAAGCAGAAAAATAACCTTGGAAAATACAAATCGAAAAATAGTAAAGTCTTCAATTTTCAGTTCAGTTTGTTAAAAAATTCATTCGTGGTTTCTGGAAGTCCATATTCAAATTTTATTGAGCTCTCAAAAAAAACCCCGGTTTTTGTGGTATCTAAAGTTATGGAAGTACTTTGAATCTATTAGCGAAAAATTTTCTGAAGCCTCTCAATGTCTTTTTTTCCTCAAATATAACGTTTTTGAAAAATTTATTTCAAAATTTAACACATAATGAATGAAGCCATTCGCAGAAATCAGAAAAAAATCAGAAATTTTTTTCAAGAACTCTTAATTTTGAACCCATCTTACCGAAACTTGTGCGTTGACAAGGACGATCGAAACCAGGAAAACCGGAAAAAGACGAGACAGCATTCTGATAACGAGAAACAGTTTCCTTGATTTCTTCCAAAATTTTCCGTCTTTTAAACCGTTCCACCCTAATGTTACACTGATATTGTGATATCATTTCAGTCGGAAAATAAGTTTTTTCAACTGGTTGGTATTCTTTACTCTTTGAAAGGACATGAGGGGACTTTTTGGCTTTTTCAGGCACATGTCAGAAATTTAGAAACTTATAAACTTCCTTTTCAAAAAACTGGAAATTTTTTTGGAGCCCCATTTTTTTATTTTTTGGTGACATGTTTTCTCTTGTCAAACTACTTTTTGGAAATTTCTTACAAAACTCGGAGCTTTTTGAATTTCGAGACACCTTAACTCGACAAAAAAATGGATAAAAAGTATATAAATAATAAAAAAATTCGTTTTTCAACATGTTTCTATGGACACATTTGACCCCGAGTTTCGCGCCAAAAAGCCGCGTCGCGCACGCAACGCGTCACCTTTGCCAACCCACCCGTCTCGCCTTTCAATTCGGGAAAAATTGACTAAAATCGTTTTTAAAGTTCAATAGTTAGGGTTAAATCTCACATTTTGCCATTTAGAAAAATTATATCCCTGAAACAAAAACTTTGTGCAGGACTAGCGACTAGAAGAAATCTTAATCCAAACCTTCGGAGAGTTTTTTGGCAAATTTTTAATTCTCAGAAAAATCCAAACCGCGAAATAAATTGTCAAAATGAAGTTTGGTCTCCCTTCAACATGTCAATTCTTTATTAGGATATCTTCCGAGTTAATCCATCAATGAGAATGATCAGATTTTTTCTGTCGCTTTTCGTAGGCAGCTTTTTCGACAGGGAAGTTTGCGTGGGCATAACGTTCCAAGTCCTCGTCGCTCTCACAGACCGAACCGTCTAGATACCACACTTCGTTCTGAAAATTGGATAGTTATCATTCTCAAAAAAAAGATCAGGAGAGTGATTCAGGGCTCTAGTTGAATCGATCCACAAGAAGTTTGCAACAGATTTTGATAAAATTTGACTAATAAGCGAAGTCATTTTACTTTGCGCCAGGGATTTTCTGAAAATTATTCTTGAAGTGCCTAATGAAGACCCTTGAACCCTCAATCTACAAAAATCACTTGTTTCCTCAAAAAAACTTCGTGAAAGTAGACCACTTCCAAACTACGAATCCTAATTTTTCAAAAACTAGTGCAACTAGGCAATTTCTCGTAGTTTTTTTCACTGAATTTCTTCTTGAAAGTTCTCTAGAGGTTCTAGACAATACAAAATTCACTTTTTTTAAATTTTTATACATTCATAATGCCTTAAAGTTTGTATTAGAATTAGGCTATGGTAGGGAAAAAATTGAATTTTTGATCTAAAGAAGATCCCATCAAATTTTATCAAAATGTCAATCTTTGTCCAGTTTCAGTCTCTTTTTTAAAGTGAAACCAAAAGTTTACCTTCAGATTAGCTCTTCTGTTATCACAATCCGATTGGTAGCTTGTACAAGCTGAAAATATCACGTTTATAAAAATTTGAATAAAAAATGGCTCGATATTTTGCTCGAGAAGTTTCATTCTTTTGTTTGCTTGCAAGTCATTGGCTTATTTTTTTTTCTCAAAAAATTCAAGAATCAAAAACCAAATTTTTTTCAAGAAATGCCAAAATAGTTCAAAATTAAATTCATTTTCAACGAAAAAAACGTCTTTTTTTAAAAACGGTAAGGGGGAAAAATTCTGCCTACAGGTCGACTTTCAAATCGTCAATTTCTACGAACCTGCGCATTAATTGATAAAAAATCCATCCTATTCAGTTTTATTGAAATTCATTGATAGTTTTTCGAGATATAATACCTCCGTTTCTGCGTTCGTAGTGGTAGCAGAAAGGTTCCTTTCCCAGGTCGACCGCGAAATATTTTACAGGCTTGTTAAAAGTTATATCTGGCTCCTTAAAAATATTTTCGTGAATTTGGTGTGTTGAAGTTCCGTTAGGAGCAATGTAAAGTTGTTATAGACTGGGTGCCAAGACTTGGGATTTCACCGAACGACATTCCGCTGTTCCGCTGCGTCGCGAAGCGTCTTTGCGAGCCTCGCTTTGAATTGGTTCTCATTTCTGATAGATTCCACTAGGAATACGTGTTGGTCGAGTTCTTAAATAAAATTAAAAATTAAAGAGCGGCCGAGCACGCAGCGGAACAGCGGAATGTCGTTCGGTGAAATTCCAAGTCGTGGTACACAGACTATATAACTTCGAAAAAAAACCGAAATATCTGGGAATAATTAGGATGGCTTGAACTTGGTTATTCTTGGGAACGCCTTACCGGAACCTCTAGGAAACTGAAGGTGACGCTCGGAAGCAACAGAGCCAGAAAAAGAAGAGAGAACATTTCGGGACAGCTTTCTTCCTCGTTTTCTTCCCAACTTTCTCTGCTTTTAAACCGAATAACCTGTGCGTCACACAAAATTCTTTGCAAAGGGAGAACAATATTTTCTTTATTTCTGCCAATGAATTGACATTTTGTTTTGCTTTCTTGGCCTGTCAGTGAAAAGAAACAATGTTGAAATTATAAATAGACTTTTAAGATTGAATATGAGGTGGAAAAAAAGCAATCAACTTTCAATTAAAAAGCGATGTCATATGAAATCTTTGAAAAAAATGTATTAACATATAAGTTTTTCTATTATTTTCATATTATTATGCGTTCAACTGAATTTTCTCAACCCCATAAAAACTACAACATATGGAAAACATGTCGAAAAAGAGAAAAATAGTGGCTTGTTTCAATTTCGGGTTTCCCGCCAAGAGCCGCGTCGCGAACGCAACGCTTCACCCTTGCCAATCTACCCATTTCGCCTTTCAATTCGGAAACGTTTGACTTTACTTATAATTCGAAAGATTTCTCGGGATTTTAATTTTCGCGTGTAATTTTTCACGGAGAGCGGTTGCTCTTCCACGCGTGCCACGTCATGGATCTTCGATCCAAATCGTCTGTTGCTGATACTCCTGTCCTTCGATCCAAATCGTCTGTTGCTGATACTCCTGTCCTTCGATCCAAATCGTCTGTTGCTGATACTCCTGTCCAAGCACGAAAGGGCATTCTAAAAGCCCGATCATCATCTCCGGTCAATGTGTCCGAGCCTTCTGTCAAGACCAAGCCGTTGCCCGAGCCACCTGTTGCCAAGACCAAGCCGTTGCCCGAGCCGTCAGCTGTCAAGACCAAGCCGTTGCCCAAGTCAGTGTCCGAGCCATCTCAGCCTGATCTAAAGAAGACCACGGAGGAGCTCATTCTGGAGATGCGTTGCGACTACGAAAGCAGGATCGACGTCATGCAGACAGAAATCAGTACGTTGAAAACTCTTGTACACCAAGTTGTCGGCGCCCTAGCAGAAAAAGAAAAAAGAAAGAAGTTCACGTTGTTAATCTTCTAAATCTTATCCTATCAAAAACTAGATAATAATGTCCAGTCTGATATTAGCCGCCCTTCTTATGCATCCGTAGTTTCATCCCAGCCCCTTCGACAAAATCCCATCATTGTCTCAATGCAAGCACAGAAATTTCTCAAGATTAGGGAGGAGCAGGAGAAAGACCGTACTTTTTGTTATTGTTGGATCCCCGGAAGTTAAGAATGAAGATCTTGTTGCTAAAAATTAATTGTTGTCTGTCTTCTGAAGATATTCCCAATGACTGTATTGAAACGGCTTTCCGTCATGGTAAAATGAAACCTGAGGGCCAATATAGGATAATCAAGGCCAAAATTTCTCCTCATCGTGTGTCCTTTTATCATAAAATCAAATCTACTGTAGGAAAGTCTGATTTATGTTGGTACACTCGTGATGATTTAACTAGTATCGAGCAGCAGGAAGACTCTCGTTTGAGATCTGAGTGCCGGCTCGAGAACAAGCGATGCGGCTTTAAGAAATACATTGTTAAGAACTTGCAACTGACTGAAGTTGCAAGAAAGCCGGTCGCGGCTTCTGTGGAAACGGCTTCTGAGAGGATTGATCTTAACGCTAACCCCCAATAAATTGAAAATGGATGAAAGAAGTGAGGAAAAAATTAATTTCAATGAGTCACATCTATTTTTGGCCAATGTTAGAGGTTTAAAATCAAAATTGCAAATTTTGGAATATGAAATTAATGCACTAACGATAGGGATTCTTACTGAAACTTGGATGGACGATAATGATGATATATTCTCTCTACCAGTTTTTAAAAATCACATGGTATACTCGAGTAAAAGGAAAAAATTGTTAGGAGGCGGGGTGTCAATACTCATTCCCAAATCATTGCATTCTAAGTTCCTTGTTTCCATATCTGAGCCTGATATAAACGCGATTTCAGTCGAAGTTTTCCTCTCGAACTCAAAACTAATTATAACAGGAGTCTATAGAAAACCGGGATGGAATGGTCATATACATAAAACGTTTGAAAACTACATCCATAACTTCGATAGGTTATCGGTAACACATATAATAGGCGGAGACTTTAATTTACCAAACATAGATTGGAGCCAAAATATAGGGACAGACTCTCTAAGTAGGCGATTTTTGAGCGTTTTCAATAGTTTCGGCCTCACTCAACATGTAAAGCATCCTACAAGGCATCATAATATATTAGATCTAGTGTTGACAAACAACTCTTACATCTTTAAGAAAGTTGTAGTAGGATCTCCAATCAGTGATCATAATAAAAATAATTTGCAACTTGAATTTAGAAGAGCGCATAATAAGAGAACCTCCTAGGAATGTTTTGTTGTTTAAAAAAGCCGATTTCATTAGTATGAACAGTGAGCTATCCTATATAGACTGGAATTATCGTTTCAGCACTTGCTCAACGGTTGAGGCCATGTATGATGTCTTCATAAAAATAATCCAAAAATCTATAACAAAATATGTCCCTAAAAAAGTCTTTCATACCGAAAAGAAACCTCAGTGGATTTTGAGACTTAAACGAAAGTGTGAGAGGGACTATGTTCGATACCGTAAACAAAAACTCAGAAGAAAAATAAAGTGCGATATTCACTCTCGTACAAAAAAAGTGCACCCAAGCTCTGAAATCTCATTCGATTCACTTAGAAAATCTGGCATTAGGAGAAAAATAAATCCACGAAAGCTTTCTGGCAATACGTTCGCAAAAAAATCAACAAGTCCTAATGAAATACCAGACCTAATTGTAGAAAAATGAAGTTATTAAAGATAGCATGGAGAAATCCAATCATTTCAATAAATTCTTTTCGACGGTATTCACAGATGATAATAATTTGCCTTTCAACATAGCTACTAAAACAAGCAGGAATCTAATGGACGTTGATGTTGCACCTCATGTGGTGTACGAGTGCCTTAGAAGAATTAAAAACGTAAATTCAGCAGGTCCTGATGGTTTACCTAGTTCAATTTGCAGAGGTCTAGCTATATCGATAGCTCTCCCTTTATCACTGATATACAGGAAAAGTTTAGATTCGGGCAAGTTGCCTAGTTTTTGGAAAAAATCAATCGTAGTACCTATATACAAAAAAGGAGATCCAAACGACGTAGGTAATTATAGACCAGTTAGTTTGACATCAGTCCCGTGTAGAGTTTTAGAATCTTTAATGGTGAGAGCTTTGAGAAACCACATGTGGCAATCTTCGCTCATCTCTGATAGCCAGCATGGATTTTTAAATCATCGCAGTACTATCTCCCAATTGTTGCCACTTCAAAAATATCTGTTTGAGGAAACTCGAAATCATTACGTTGAAGTCATATATTTAGATATTAAAAAAGCTTTTGACACGGTTTGTCATAGAAGATTGATTGAAGTCTTGAAATCCTACGGATGTGAGGGAGTAATACTTAACTGGTTCGAAGAGTTTTTGAAAGATAGATCACAAAAAGTTAAAGTCAATAACAGTATTTCGAATGAGATAAAAATATCGTCAGGTGTACCGCAAGGTAGCTCATTGGGACCTCTTATGTTTTTAGTATATATCAATGACTTGTCAGAAGTTATTAAATACTGTAACTTGAGCATGTTCGCAGATGATTGTAAACTGTATTTATCTAGTAATGTAACAAACCATAAAAGCCAAACTTCAAGAAGACTTAAAAAAATGTATACCAATGGTTAGAGGGCCGTCAACTATCAATATCTCCTGAGAAGTGCATGTTAGTCCAGTTTGGAAAAAAGACAGAACCCAGTACATACAAAAATTAACGATCAAACTCTTAGCACTAAACAAAAATGTCAGAGACCTGGGATTCTTCTTCACGAGTAATCTGAAAAATGGGGCACCATGTGAGTATAGTAGTACAAAAAAATGTATGAAAAATAATAAATAATTTATTTCGCTGTTTTCATTTCTCTCAAAAATAACTTTCTAAAATGCTATAAAGCCAAAAATCTTGCCTATCATTGAGTACGGATCCGAACTAATGTGCCCGCTAAATTTGAATGATATAAATCAACTAGAATCAGTCCAGAGAAAATTTACCAAAAGATTATATCCGAAATTGGATTATCGCAGTAGATTAGCCAAACTGAAACTATCGACGTTATGGACTAGAAGACTTTTTAAAGACGTTTGTTGCGTTCATAAATACATTCATGGATATTTTTGGAGTGAGTCGCCTGTTAAATTAATGATGAATTCGAGTAGAAATAATCAACTCAGAGGAAATGGAATGAGACTTGTCCAACCAAGGAATGAATTGATCAAACAACGCTTCCTAAATCATAGAGTCATACCCATTTGGAACCAACTGGAGAGAGAAATTATCATTGAATACGAAATCGGCAAGTTTCAGATTATGCTCACCTCATGGTTCGAATCAAACACATCGTTTTTTTAAAAATCATTAGATCCTACTAAAAATCTAGAAAAAAATTCTAACTTATTAAAAAAATACAAAGAACAAACTTAAATACCAAATGGGGGTTAGCACTGTCTACTCAGACAATCTTTTTCCTCCAGCCGTTTCCACAGATCAGCTGTTAGATTTATTTGATTGTCTTGATGTTTTATTTTTGTATTTGTCGTGCTGATTGCGGAATGGCGAATAAACACTTGAAA